GCAATACAAGTTACTCAATCAAGAATTACTTCCTCCTGCCTTTCAACTGAGTTAACCATCCTGAACCATTATAAGAGTGAGGAGAGCATTTAAGGACCAGTCACAATCAGAGAACTTTCAAGACATAACTCTTCCCTTCAATTTGTCAGGGAAACTTGTAAAAAAAAAATTCCAGGTTCAGAGGAACATAACTATATGACTGGAAGAGGACAAGGAAATAAGTGTCCCCTCAATAAGTCACGGGATACCATAACTGAGTGATTGACTGTGACTTAATGAAGGCTCATCCATTCCTCATTAATTAAAATGTATTGTTATTGACTATTGGTTTATTTTGTTCAGAAATGCTACTGCTTGAGAAGCCATCAGAAGACATGCAATTTATTGAGTTGACACTTTATTTTGAACTAAGCAAGCCTATATTATTCATAAACACTGAATAGGGTATTTCAGATACCAAGCTGAAAACCCTGGTGAGTTCACCAAATATTCAATGATTCTGATTCAAATCTCTCTTCAAGGGTCCCAAAACCAAAGCCTAGGAAGTACATGGAAATAATAAATACTGCATCAGTCCTTACAGATATGATTTACCTCCAGGATATAGATGTTGTCAAAGAATTTACCCTTATTTTAAAGTACATTATGAAAGATTAACTTGTCCATATATACTTACATGAGTAAGTTCAACAAGGATTAAGGTGGAAGCTAATTTTTGGTGCTTTTTTTTTATTATTCCTTCCAGAATTATTCTTTATGCCAATGGGGTGTTGAAGTTATTTATGTTGTACCTGTGAGTAGAACTGCTTGGCAATTCTGGTGAAATCATATTTGCTAATGTCTATTCATTATTTCAGGCCATAACAATTCACTCTTTATTTAATCAATTTGCTTGGGTCATGTGTTTTCTTCCTGTTCCTCTTCAGACTTGCTTTTCACACTCAATATAGCTGCATTATGTATTGTGATTCTTGTACAATGCAAATACAACATAACTAGGAGTGAAATTGGAGATAAGGTCAATGACATAAAACATTATCCTCTGTTTTTGGAGAACCATAAAATGCATTAAAAGCCATGTGTGGTTCCACCAGAAGAGAAAGCTAGAAAGATAGAATGAGTAGGACACTGAAATGGTCCATAGGGTTCATTTTATTTGAAAAAAGAAAAATAAATAATTGGGTAAAGCTGAAATAAAGAAGACAGGGGGATGCTCTAAAATTCAATACTGAAGGTGCAGTCCAAAATCCTACTTGAAATGGGCACCAAGATGAGATGGTCCCATATTCTCAAGTTACAGACTTCAGGAATAAAGAAAGCTGTAAGGAAGCACATTCTATAAGGGCATCAAGCAAAAGTCCACCATTTGCTGAAATTTTCAGCACACTGAAGAAACAGATATCTAGCAAATGCAATGGTATTTTCCTAGAAAACTTTTTATGTTGGAGGAGAGTGAATATTAAAAGAACAGCACTTTTGGCAAAACTTGAATACCATAATACAGTATCATCTAAGACTTGTCCAGCCTGAGGCCAAAAGAAGAAAAAGAAGCTAATATCAATTGTTATGAGCCAATAATCTTACATTGATAATTGGGCAACCTGTGATACATTCTAAGCAAGACAGTACCCTGGCAAGAATGTTCACTGCTGATCATCCTTGATATCATATTCCAGTAAGATACAGGAACCATTTAAGTCACTATCTCTCATGAGAAGGATAAACACCAAAAATGTTGAAGCTATCAATACTGGAGCAGTATTATAATGAAACTGAAGTTGTTTTACTTATCCCCAATATTAACTGCAAAATCAACTGCTGTCCCAAGCAATATTCAGACCTGATCTAGCCTATTCATGTTGCATGGAGGGTTGCAGGCAGCATGAGCTTGCATAATTCCTATGGCATAAAAAAAGCGCCAGTCAGTGAGCAACAGGGACAACATGGTTAAAAAACAACAGTTACAGATTTTGTCACTGTCTCCATTTCTCACTTTTGCACATGAAATGATAAAATTTTGCAAAAAGAAAGGTAAATTCATTCTGCTGCAGTATGCATTAATTCTTTGGGTGTTTTATTGAGTTGGAAAATTTTCTGCATTACCTTTCACTAAAGCATCTCATAAGAAAACAATATTCAGATAATGAGGCTCATGCCAAAGGGATAGGAGAGATGCTGCTGATTTCAGCTCTTGCTCAACATCTAAGAGAGGGTGACAGGAAAACAAGGCAAAATGCATGTAGTAGCATAAATAATGTCAGCAAGTTTTAACCCTCTATGCACTAAGTATTAAAACCTTTATGTAATATTTCTTTCCTTTGAATTCTGTTAGTTTGGCTACTACTTTCTGCATTTAAATGAAGAGGGGGACAAATTCACTATTCATTTCAGCTCTGCTACATTGGGTAAATACAGAAATAAAGTATTCAATAAACTTGATGAGGCTGTTCATGATTGTTGCAGACCTACAATTCTGGTACACATAGGGTTAATCCTTCCATCATGGAGCACTAACCTCATTCTTCTAAGTCACCTTTCATTAGAATGAATGAACTGGTGAGAAAAAGTACAAACTGACTACAATAAAATTTTAAACATTGCTACAGGATGAAAGCGCCATTCCAAGGAAAACATTACACCCTTTTATATGTAAAAGTGTCATTGAAATAACTTTATTTATTTATTTTTTAGCCTTCTTGTATAACATGGATTACTTCCAAGATTTGTAACCCACCCAATACAAGTCACTATGAAGTAACTTGTGGCATGTGGCTGAGGAATTAAATGGCACAGCCATTAGAAAACACCATCTCAAAATAAAAACAGTAGGGCATGAGGACCAACTGCAAAGGCACATAGTCTAAAAGTCCCACAGTAGAGGATTCTGAGAGTCCCTAATTTTTCTTTTTTCCAGATAAGAATTTGACTTCTGTGTTACAAAACCTCAGTATATACATTCAGCAATACTGAATGCCATAAAAGCATTAAACACTTTGCAAGAATGGCAATCAAAATGGATCTAGCTGTGTAAAATGTCAGGAGAATAAGACAATAGAATCATCACCCATTTCAATGGTCTTTACTCATTTATAAATGGAATAGACACTTGCACTCACTTTGCATATATGATCCCAAGCTCCCCTTCCAGATCAGATTTGACAAAGAAGTCTCCTTTGAAGTGGTTACTACAGACCAATATCTGTCACTCAAAATGAATGAGGTTGCCATTTAACATTCCATGCAACATGGCTATGCTATTTCAAGTCCACCCTTTTCTGTAATTTATGCCAAGAAAATATCCATTTTTTTTGCCTTAAGTGCCCATTCCAATGTGCTTGAAAAGAGATGTTCAAATCCATCAGTTGACCTTTTCTGTTCTGAAATTAATGTTGATTCTATTCCAGATTCCTTGGGAGGCTTCAGGATGAATTAATTCAATTAATTCAATTTTTTCCATGTTCTGCTCAAAAGACAGATTTCAGAAAAACAAGAAACAAAGGCGTAAGCATCCAAAAACACAAGCAGATAAACAAGGTATATTTAGGTCTCCTCAAAGCAATGCATCCTCAATAATGGGATGTGATCACAAGTTTCTTTTTTTTTTTTTTACTAAAGCTCATGTGCTAGCTGAGAATGCCAGCAGATTCATAGGTAAGAATTATGATTTTTAGATAGAAAAAACACACTGGTACATCAGTGGGTTGAAGATGGTACAAAGAGAAAAACAGGTAACATTCCACTGGGGGATTGGAGGCTAAAACATCATTGTGGCAAAGGATCCCTGGTGAGATATTTTATGCATAAAGAGTTTCAAGGTACTCTACAAATGACCAGTGATATTCTGTCTTGCAGGATATGGTCATAAAAAGTCAGCATTCTTCATCTAGGCCCATAGAGATTCAAGTATAGAATACCCCCTGAAAAAAAGATAAATACTGCATATCTTTCATCAAACAAATGAAGAGAAAAAAGCATAATGACAGACTTGGTAGGGGAGGTATACGATGGACAAACTTCAAGATAAACTCAGAGAAAAATTAGCCCTTTTTGGTTTACTAGTGAGTGGAATGGAAAACGTATCACTTGGACTGTGACCCAATCAAGTTCACACATATGGACTCTGACCAACTCAGTCACCAGTCATGATCAAACAGATGTAGAAACTATGGTGATCAGAAGCCCATCAAATTAACAAGCCAGAATGACAAAATTTCTGGAGCTGAGGTATTTTCACAAGTTCATGATCATTACAGATGGCATGGTGGGTTCCATTCTGTCATTCTCACTCCATACAGTTCTTGCTTCTGACTTACATCTTTTGATACTACTACTCCCCAACCTCTACAAGTGCAATATACCTTATAACATTGCTTCCTTTTCTTAATCCTTCTCAACCATAGGCCATAATTGCTTCTAGAGAATTTGTCACTAATACAACTACTGATACAACTGAAAGTTTGGAAGACCAACCATCAGCTAGATTATATGTCAAGAGGTAAACCCCAAGTGAATGTATGGGGTGTATAACATCCAGGAATGCTGTAGAAGCTTAAGGTTTGGCAGCTGCTTCCAGGATATAGCACACTCCTTTATGCAAAGGCTATTGTTTCAGAATGAGGATTTCTTTCTCATTTGGGCACTTGTTTCAGCCTTTTTCACTAGAACAAGTTAGGATCGATTATTTAAAATTTCTTCATTAACAGATATGGGAGTGACTCAGGTGACCAGAATATGCTAGCATGAAATGTCAAAGTGATCTAATACACTAGAGATCACAGCAATTAGTAGGCTATTCTTAAAAGACAACTGTTTCGTTTATTACAACCACTTTTACCATTACTGTAAATAAGACAGTGGGAAGAAGTTCTGAATAATATGAACTACATGCAGTTGATGGTAAACACAAGGCAGGAATGGAAACCACTCTTTAATGAATGTACCAATAGTAGTAGGCCTACTCAATGCTGGCATCTTCTCATTGACTGCACATGATTTTAGCTCTAGGGCAGAGCCTGCATTTGTGTTTGGACCATCATGGCATTTGGGGAAGACTCACTTGGTGCACAGGAAAGCATAGGCTGAGATGAAGATGCAATGAGGCCATTCTTCATCTGACAATACGGAACAGGCGAGGAAAGCACCATGGCACTGGGAGTACTTGTTGTTCCCTGTGGAGTCAAAACCTGTAGATATTGAACCATTCTTCCTTCCACGTCCAAAGGAAGATGCATGACGACAGGTGGTGGACGAGGAGGGGGAAGGATCACTTCCCGCTTGGGCTTCCGTCCTCTTCGGGCCACCTTCCTCTTTTGTACTTTGTGACTTAAATTGAGATTCAACATCTTCTTGCATCGATCATGCACATGGGATGAGTGAGATGAGGTAGTGGCAGGGAGTACTGAATCACCCATTGCACTGAATGGTGAGGCTTTTTGATCAGGAAAATAGGTCAATGAGGAAGATGCCTCTGTAGTTGTCACTCCAGATTTCCCAAGAAATTCATTTAAAGTTGACATTGGTGTAGATGTTGAAGAGAATGAACCACACAAGGGCACAGCCTCATCTGAAGGTGAAGAATGAGAAGCAGGAGGATGTTCAGGAGGCATAGAAGCAGGAGGATGTTCAGGAGGCATAGAAGCAGGAGGAGGAGTAAGTAAAGAAGGGGAAGAAGAAAGAGGAAGTGGAGGAGGGGAAGTTGGAGGTGGAGGTGCAGGAAGAGGAGGGAGAGGTTGGGGAGGAAGTGGAGGAGGGTTAGTAGCAGGAGGATTAGGTGGAGCTGTGTTATCCACTAAGGCTAACTGACATTCTTCTTCTAGAGCTTGATTCAAAACTTCTGCCAGGCCCTGTCCCAGTGAGGTCATTCCTCGATCTGCTTCAGCCAAGGCTTCTTCCAAAAGCCGCTTCTCTTCTTCATGAGTTGAATCTACCACATCTGGTGGAACTGTACATAAAAAAGGCACTGTTATTCACTAAGACCACATCAGGCAAAAAATAAGCATGGTTTAATGGGATTTTTAGCTCACTACAGACATAGCTCCCATCACTTGAGAGGTTTATGACAGTGTTGAACATGAAAATGTTGAAAGCCAGTAATGAACAGCAAGATAAATTTGATTGCAATCTGGGTCGATGGTGCTTAAAGTTTGGACACCAGCCAGAATATGAAAAATATTGAAGAAGAAATGTAAAATGAAACAAAATGTTGAATAACCAGAGTGGTCACATTAAAGCCATAGATAACCATCAAACTTCAAGCATATCAAAGTTTTGTGAAAATAACTCCAGTGCTAGCAGGAACATATTCATTAAAAGTTGTTTTTTTTTTCTATACCCTGCTCATCACATATTTGTGCACATGTGCCACAAGACCAAATATCATATCAAATAACAGTTCCATGTATGATGCAATGTGTGGAAATTTTGTATGGGATGCAACTGTTGACAATGCCTTTCACTTTTTATTTACAATTTGAAAAAGGAATGTAAGCAAATGATCATCTCAGCCAAAGAAAAGAAATTTAACTTACTTGACATGTATTGCATTTATCTTTATGCACAATCTTCTTTATGTGAACCTCTTCATTATATACAGGTATGATGGCTGTGTCCTACTGTCATGAAGATCTCTACCAAATCTAAAGATATTTTATCTTATTTGAAAAACAAGTATAGGTTCTCCTATAGACTAATAGATGCATGATTTGAGTGTTAAAGAGTCCTTTTGCAACAAGTTATCATGGGGGTCCAAAGACATTCTGATGAAACGGCTTTACCTGAAGAAAATATGTCAGTGAAAGCATCCTCAGGGAGCTTGTTGAGGACCTCTCTCAAATAGGGCTCTTCAAGAAGTTGAGCTGAGACAGATTCACACAGGTGTGGGAAATCAAGGACAGCCATTTCTTCAATGTCAGGTGTAGAATCATATATCTGACAAGATTCTGATTCTGGAGAAGGCATCATAGGAGGACTCATTGGTCGAATGTAACCTGGATTTCTCTGACCCTTTTCATCTTCTTGAAGTATTTTTGGCTTCTTCTTTCTTCGTTTGTGACGCTTCAGAAGTGGAGTGCCACGGGCACGTTTTTGGGGATTTCTTGAGGCTAGCTTTCCCTTCTGTGCCAGCTATGTAATGGAACATATATAAATATTTTATTGGACTAATCTGCCATTAATATTGGTAGTACAAGAAGCAAGCACTTTAAATTTTATCTAATACAGTTGACTCCTATAATGGCATAATCCTTAATGGAATACTCCACTTAATGGAATGCTGTTGCACAGTCCCAATTTATATCAAGATACAGCAGATAGTTTTGTTCATTGGAATACTCCAGATTATAAAATAAAGTTTGGTGGTCCTGTGAGTATTCCAATATGCAGATTCAACTGTACATCAATTCACTATTTTCCTTATTATACACAATAAAGACTTACTCGGGCTTGAAGATGCCTATCACAAAGAGGAGGGTCTTTTCTTAAGTCAATTGCTGGTCTTCGACAGCAACTTCCATCATCTTCTTTCCATGTGCAATGTTGGAACAGCTTTTGTGAAACATTGTACATGATGTGTTCACGGCAATGGAGAGCCAATGGAAGTGCTACAGCTGAACATTGTAGCACTTTAGCATCAGTTGAAATCCCATATAAGTAGCAGCATTGCTGAGGAATAAGACTTCTCATTTTTGATCTGTAACACAATATAGATATTCCTCTTTGTTACACATCAAAATGCCTAGGTGTGATATAAATATAAAGTTGGTGGGGGGTTGGTGTGTAGCTACAGTGGTAAATCAACAAGCTCAACCAGGTAAAGAAATTTCCAAGCTAGAACCTGAGGAGGCTAGAAAAGGCATGGCATGATTCTTGTTAGTAATGTGAGCATTGAGAGAATTTTTTATTTGACAGGGAGTATTGGATGAACAAGCAGGCGGAGGATTTATCTTTACCCTTGATATGGTACTGGTATAATAGTATACCATCTCCCTCTTTCTGCAGACTTTTTCCTTATGAAGGGTTGAACTTTTGGAGCCCTTCTATTGTTCTAGCAGTGAAAACATAAAAAGGGCTTTGTTCTGATTAAGAATAATTTTTTCAACACTAAAAATTAGGGATATTACTGATAATTTATCAGGCAGATAAAAAGGCCTATAATTGCTCTCATCAACACCCATACTGACTGCAGCTTTCAGTACAATAGTTTTCCATGTTATACGTAGGTATAATATGGAAAGCTATTGTACTGACATCACCATCATGGTGAATGCAAAGATAAATGGACTCTAGCTATGGAGATTAAGTCCTACGAGTGCCTCACCAGAGTTTATGAAATTAAATACGTTTTCAAGCTTATGAGACATACTTTCGGAAGAGACAACCTGCCAAATGCTTATGTGACATATGTGAGATTCATTCCAGTTGAACTTTTTGATGCTTTTATTCAGGCTTGAAAGGAAAACTTATTATCTTGATGAGCTCTCTCAGGAATGGTGCAAAAGGCATATATTACTACCAGTATCAATGCTGTTGGGATCAACACTTATGACTGAATAGAACATCCCCTTCCCTTGCAACAAATGTCTGCATAACATACCTCAGTCAAATAAGTCAAGGAGGAGGAGAAAATACTTTCAGCAATAGCACTTCTGCAGAGCAGACTTGATTTCACTGCATTTCATAAAATACTTCACTGCCTCTGCCTTTTAAAGCGATGAGTAAGGATTCCATGATTCAATGACTCAATAAAGAGGAAGGATAACAAGCTCAGCAAACCCCAGTCAAGTAACAACCATCCCCTGATGTCCTCCAGACAAAATACAGGAACAGTGAATCATGAAATCTTGCAGGCTCACCTTCCTTTCAGTTTTGGTTTCTTCCAACCATTCACCTTTCGAACAAACTCGGCTGTTTGCCAGGGAGACGCTCTAGCTGCAGCCATCAGCTGTCGTACATACCTTCTTGAAACACACTTAGATGCCAGCTTCAAGCCACGAGTTCTCTGAACCACTTGGGCCTTCAAATCCCGCAAAACCAGACGCATCTCCTCACCTCGATCCAACTGTTGGAGGTGCTCACTGGGAAGTGCCACATGCTCCAGTGGCAAATATGGGAGGTCACAGGAGACTTGACATGTACTAAAAGCTGCTCCAGAACTCCCTTTCCGATCAACAGAGAACCAGTGTTGCTGATGGCCAACAACTATATCACAGTTGCTGTCTTCATCATCATCAGAAGACAAAAGGCCTTGAAAGAATAAGAGAAAAATATTGGATCTGAGCATCATCCAAAAGGAACCATATTGATACATATCCCCCCAAAAAAATTGATTCAGGAGGGCAAGGGGTTGTACAGTTTCCTTCAAATTGCCAATGTAATACTTAGGTCACCAGAAGACTGTCAACATCAATAGATTTTAAGAAGCCAGCACATAAAAATTTTTTAAATCTGACTTCAAAGAATGAGTATATTTGAATGAATTTTGCATTTCCCTTGCAGATGTATTTTAAAATGGACTAGTTGACAGCACAGTCCATCCAATATTGATTCAAGTGTGGGCTTCCAAAAGCTACTCTGTCTCCTACAGTGTACTCCTGAGAACACTGAAACTGATCAAATATACAATTGCCAAATTGGCCATTAAACGAATGAATCTCTTGCAAAATTAAAAGTATAAACTAAAACTGCCATTTGGATCTGAGACTGCTACATGCACCTGTACAGCATACCTCCCTTCATCATCTATATCACCTACAAGTGATACCACTGTACAAGTGATTTGGCAATGACACCACTAAATGTAAGGAGAAAGTAGCATATCAGGACACAAAACAACACCAAAAACTTTCCTGTACCTAATTAATGGCTTAGTCAATGGAGAGAGATGATTATTACACAGTCATCCTACAGGGTGGCCCAAAAAACATGGATCCCTGTCTTTCAAAAATTTTCAAGATTGATCAGCCAAATTTATTGAATGAAAACTTCAATCTATTCCTGGCTTTCAATCAAAATTTGGCTATATTTGGATAGAGAATTGTGGAAAAATTAAAAATGTCCAAAAGGCACTCTGAATTTTCACTGCTCAGAAAGTACAAGTAGCAGCACAATATGGTTGTCAATGCATCATGGCAGCTGAGTATCAATATTTTTTCTGTCCCTGTGGCATCATCTACTCCAAATACCATATTAAAAAAAAAAACTAGATCAAGGTCACATTCAAGAGGTGCTGAAAGTGTGAAAATCATTGAGAAAAGCATGTGCATTGCTAGTGACATGCTCATGCAGTTTCATCACATTTTTTATTTTCCCACAGATTTGCTGTACTGGATAACATATTGCCCCTGAACATTGTTTCCAGATGCCTATTTCAAAGAAAGACCAAGAAGCCATGGAAGTTGAAAGGAAAGAAAAATGCTGGGGGCAAAGAAAATGGTGGAAGAGTTTCATGATAATGACCAGAGTGTCTCCAGTATCAATTTGCTCTAGCAAAAGATTGATCAATCTTTTGCAAAATCATCAGGTAGCAATGATTGCAAGCTCCCAGCGATCAGTATATTGCGCAATTGATCATTGAAGGAACAGATTGGAAAGTGGAGCTGAAAATAGGGAAGATGTCTTTGAACATTTGCAATGATAGAGCCAAAAAAAATTGTGTACTGGGTGTTGCACATACAGGGTGCCCAGAAAAAAAGTACATCATTATATATTTATAAGTTTCCTAACATTCAGGAGACCAAACTGCCTAAAAATTTGAATGAAAATAGTTCAAATAGTCATGAAACATGCCTTAAAATATTAGGCAGATCAGTTTGACCTGAACCCTGACTCATATCATTTAATGACATGATCTCGAAAATCGACCAAACGGTTTATTTTATTACCTCAGTTCAATCAAAAACAACTACAATCATTGCAAATAAGGAACAATCGGTGCATTAGTTTATCTTAGGAGATGGTGATCAAAGTCCTTGACAACTTTCCAAAGAGACTCAAGCAGTGCATCGAAGCAGGAGGTGGCCATTTTGAAAAGAAGTGATTCTATTGTAATCTCGAGATAGTAAAATTTGTTTTTGTTCTCATTGGTTTAAATTTTTTTCATTTTCCAAAAAATTATTTCATTTTTTATTTGTCCAGGTATTTCTGCTGCAACCTGTATATTCTGATATTTTTAGTTGAATAAAGGTACTTTTTAGGATTTAGCAAAAAATACTCAGCAGTGTAATAAATTGAGATGCTGGGTAATGTAAATTTACAGGGCAAAAGTTGTATTTATGTGCAAATTTGATGGCTACAAAATGACAAATTATAGATCATATGATATAAATCTGCTTGATACTTCAGGGAGTGCTTCCTGACTAATTGAACTCTTTTTATTCAAATTTTTAGGCAGTTTGGTTTCCTAATTACAGAGAAACTTATAAATATATAATGGTGTCCTTTTTTTCCAGGCATCCTGTAGATAGCCCAAACTATAGGAGCTAGAAAATTTAAAAAAATATTTTTGGAATCCTTGCTCAATTATGGTTCTATTCAATCCCAGTTTGTTGCTTCTGATGTCATATAATGTTGAAAAATGTAAATTCATTGATCACATCCGTGCTATTACGTTTTGAGAAGCTTGTGATGCCCAAACTGAACTTGTTACGCATTCATGGATTTTGAAAAAGATTAAATGTTCAGCGTCTGCAACAGCAAATGCTGAAAGAATCAGGGATTGATATCTTTGGAAATGTGGAATTGTTGGGAAACTCTCCTGATCTGAATGTGGCTGAGAACATTGGGGTTATCCTGAAAAATCAAATTGAGGCTCTCATGCATATGGAGGGCATGCAGCATGGATTCTCTTGAGAAGCCTTCCTGAGAGCTGAAGGACATGGAAGATGACACTGAACTCTTTAGGCCTCTCTTTTCATCTTACTCTGCTCGTCTCAAAGCTGTCAGACACACAGCCAAGGTTCACACAAATTACTAGAAGTACATGTTTAGATCTGAAAATTAATGCTCTTTTTCCCCATATATATATATTGTTTTTTTTCCTTGCTCTTAGACTGCCCCCCTCCACAGCCTAATTATATGTGCAAATACCCAGTATGTTGCTTTACTTCTGGGGTAGTTCAATCCTGAGTGCCTTTTGGAAAAATTATATTTCTCCACAACTGTTCAAATGAAGCCAAAATTTTGTTGAAAGTCAGAAACAGATTAATGTTTGCCTTCAAGAAATTTGGCTGATCAATCTTGAAACATAAGAAATTCAAAAATTCTGAAAGACAGAGACCCAGGTTTTATAGGCCACCCTATATCAATGGAAAGAAATACAACTTTGAATAAGTAGTCTTGAACTCACCAAGAGGATAAAGGTCACAGTAACTGAGCCTCAAAGCCATGTGAAGATCATGTAACTGTCTAACTTCATGGCAATATGACTCTACTTCTATTGGATCTTCCCTGGGAAGCTTTTTTTGAGACACATTCAAGTATGTATGATGAACTTTCACCATCTTTGCACTTTTTTTTGTTCTTCGATGCTCTAGACACTTCCTAAATTTCCTCTGCACATTCAAGCATGATTCCTGTGATGGTGATGCTGTTGTCATCATGTGAATATTATTGTCAGTTTGCAACACACCATTCCCAGGGGAACTTCCATCCAGCTGCTTTAGTGGCAGCTTGTCTTTGGGTGCTGGCCACAATCGCTCATAACATTCACCATTTTTATCACAGCTGACCTCGATAGATGTCACTTTGCAAGGCGAAAGCATAGTTGGAACTGGAGAAGATGTACTGCAAGAGGTTGTACTTTGTTGATCACAGGGATTTCTTTGGGTCTCAGCAATCATAGAGCAGATACTAGGAGTCTTATGCACAGAATCATGGTGAACCACAAGACTTTGGGGAGCAGCATTAGAAGTTTTCTTATGTCCTAATACACCTTTAGATGCCTGCTTCTTTCTCTTCGCTTGTTTCACTTTTGGTTCTCTCATCTCTTCCCCGTCTTTTAAAAGATTTTCATGTAGGCCAATGATATTCAAGCCTGAAGCAAGTGATACTGGGACCCCAGAAATGACTGGTTTTGTGCTTCCAGAAAAAACAAATAGAGCATTTCCTCCACTTGGAAGAACAGGAAGCACTCCAGACTGCATAAGGGGCATTGCAACATACCCTATATGGCCAGTGCCCTGAGAGGATCCTCCAGGTGTTGATATAGGTGAAGATTTCTTCCTGCCAGAGTTCTTTCTTAGAGACTCTCCTGATGTTTTATGGCCATGTTCTGCTTCTACCATAGACTGAGCTGGCATGTTGGTCACCTTCTCTGTATGCCAATGATTACTGTCATGAAAATTTTCAGCTGGATAAGGCAAGGGAACAGCATCTCTTTCTGCATTAGGATCTGAGTCCTTCTCACAAGACCTAGACCTGGAGTGACAGAATTCCTCCATTTTATGGAGAACCTGACTTGCTGACAGGTATACAGGTGTTTCATCCAAGTCCTTCTTGTCTGTAGGCATGCATGATGCATGCATGGAAGAATAGAAACAGCTTCTCTGCCCACCAATAATGTTTGGCTTGAGATAGGTGCGAATAGGAACAGAGGGTGATAACTGTTGGCAGGCATCATTAGAATCCATCTGGGCATTTGCCTCATTCAAATAATGCTTCGACTAGAAGCCATTCTCATTATCAGAGAAAACTGGTGCTTAATTAGGCTCTGGAGCATGGGCTCTTCTCTGCTCCTGTACAAATCTGAAAATTGAAAAACAATTTAGTTAACTTCCAACAAACATTTCCATTCCCAGGCTTGTCTGCATCCCATTATCATTGCCCACCAGTGCTTTGATCTCTCTCTTCTACATGAATCAAAGCTTGCCTCTAGCTGCTTTTCATAACTTTGATCACTCCAACAGTTATCCAATATTTATTTCTCTCAGCATTTGGATATTATTTTCCCAATAGAACAGTACAGGCATTCAAGTATATTCCTATAAACCATTCCTACAATCAATCATGGACTCTCAGTGTCCTTTATATTTTCCATGGTATCTCTGCAAATATTTTCTTTAACATTTCAGCATCATAAATCTGAACTCAATGGCTACATGACCTAGTACATATGTCCACTTTGCAAGAAAAATGTATTCAAGTCTTACAACACAATGAATACCTTGCAGCCTACATGTAACCTTATAAAATAAGCTTGAAGTACTATTACTTCCAGACCACTCAGGAAAATATGTTGATACTTATGACATCATTGCTCCTTTTGAGCAAACTCTAGCACTCCAGGATCCAGTCAACCAGTAATATTTTCAAGTGGAAGTCCAGGAAGTAAATGGTCTGAAATACTGAAAACACAAAGTCTAGGCTGTTATTCTGTTTGCTTATCAAATATTCAAGCATAGATATGCACCTCTATCCCCACCATATCAACACATGGCAATGTTGCCAAGTATGTAAAAATTGTTGAAATTCCAGAATTCCATTCTGAGAAAAAATTAGCATATTTTCTCCAATGTCTTTCACAACTTTGAAATCTGCTCTCTACCTTTCCCAAAAAAAAAACCTCACTGCATGCTGATTCAGATGTGTTCTTATACTCTGCTTTACCCTGATATTTCCTATGATAATGACTTCCTGAGCTGGCCAATAGTTCCCATAACAGTCTTCAAGTCAAAGAAAAGACATCGGTGAAGAGACTCTCTTGTATGTGGACTATAAGCTAAGTGGTTTAATAATAATGAATTTTTGCTTTATGTTGATTTAAAAAAAAGGATAACATTAGAGCTTAAATATTCAAATATCAGATGTCAAGGGGATAACAATAAGCATAATATAAGGTGATGCATGCAAGCTTAAATTTTTGAGACTTCATGATGAATACATTACATGGAAAGAGCAAATCAAAAATATTAAACTGGAATTTTCTGAATCCATTGGGATTCTTTATTATCAGAAGAATATTTTTCCACCCATATCTTTCTCATGACCTTATCCAGTTGCAAATAGCATATGAAACTGCTGCCCAGATATACATGTAGTGAGAACTTCTGAAAAAATTAGAAAAGTTATGAAAGAAAGCTTCATAAGGTCAAGGGAAATCTCCTTCAAAGAACNTACTTAGTGTCAGGAAAACATTACCATACTCCATGCAGTACGGTCTGTATACAGTCTAAATCACTTTTCATGTGATTCATGAGATGCCACAGTAACACCTGTTGTAACTTAATTTACAATAGGACATAAACTACCATAATTATTCAAAGAAACTTTTAGTATCAGTATTGCCTGTATTTAGAATAAACTGTGGATATAAAATTCCTTTACTTTTCAAAGCAAGATAATATGGAATAGGTTTCCATTAAGTGACACTTCCTCACATTCAACTTTGTCCTTCAAGAATAAATGCAAAGACTTCATTTATCAGTATTACTTGGATCCAAAAGCAGAGAATTCCCTTCAGAAGAGCCATGTATACATTGCTCCATAGCTTGAAGGATACTTCAAGGGCATGATGCTTTCTTTTAGTGTTTTTACTTGCACCAGACAATTTCCCACATGACTTAGACACTCATGCAGGATGGTTTGAGTCAAGTGAAAAATTGTCTGAATCAAAAGAGAAACACTACTCTCATTATAAATGCCACCCTCCTCCCAATTATCTCATTGTCACTTAATTTCTTCCTTCCCATAACACAAGTCTATGCTTTCAAAAGGGAGAAATATTTTAAAACCAGTCTAGTTAAAGTAAACAGAAAAATTGTGAAACCTTGAATTCACATCACATCATCCCCATCTGTCTAATGACAGAGTACGACTAATTCAAGTGCTCACACAACAATTTTAATACTAACGTGCAGTCATGGAATTGTAGGTCGCTCTTCCTGAAAGGGCCTAATTTAGTTCATATTCTCACTGTACATGCTGGACAGTAAAACATGATATACTAAAAAACTGCCTGACTAATGGACTGTAATCCTGAAATGCTGCAAGTAAATGTTTGTATAGCAGCTGGAAGCAGTATGCTGCACAACAAAAAAGTCTGCCAAAAATAATGCTGAATTGAATGGAAATTATTACTGAGATGGCAGAGAGACAAGCAATACAACAGACGCCATGCTGCTTTTGGTGGGAGCAAAAGTGCAGTTTTGATGTCAGTTAATTGATTGCTGCTGTGCACTGCCTCCCGCATGCAGTGTGCAGCACAGCGTGAATATGAACAAGGCCAGTTGATGGTTGAGGGAAGATAATGGGTCTCGTAGCAATGAAGGCAGCCATCATGCTTTCATCTACCTCGACATCACATCTTGTGATCACAGAGATTCAAGTAATGTCTGAATGCCTACTCAGACAATCCCATTAAGAAGTACGTTAGATATTATAAGTTTCCTTAAGAAAACGCAGGGGCATATCCTGGAGTATCTGATGATCAATGAAGGTTATACTGTCCATGGTCCCACTCCTGATCCTGCGTTCGCAGGTTGAATCGAAGACATACGCCTCAAACCTATGGCCGCCTCTATTGACCGTACTATTGCACGACGGAGTAGCGGTAGGCTTATGTCGGCCTTAGCAATAAGCTCACAAACGTTATTTCTCGCTACCGGCTGTATCCAGGTCACCCTCCCCCCCTTGCCTTTACTTTTTTAAGGTCTGGCTGATCCCATTTTCATACTTCTGCACTAGTGGTTGCTCCGTTGATGTTACTGTTAAAGGAAACGAAAGAGGAATGTTGCTGATGAGGATTGCATCAATACCGTTCGGTATTGACGTTCGAATCATTCGCCATTGCATTGTCAGTTGTAACTTTCTATTCCTCCCCTTAGTTTGGCCAGGTTAGGTTAGGTTGGTGTATATTATACATAAAAATCCCCACTGAATGTGGCATATTTCCAGTTGGATTCATTTAGAAACCTGAGACTGGGGGAGTGTAATTTCTCCAATTTCCCCAAAACGTTACCCATCAGGGATATGGATAAAATAGCTATGTTATCATGTATATAGCAACTATCCTATTTGTGGTGTGGATGGTTTTTGGGCAAGAATATCCAGTGTTGACTCCTGAAACTTTTTAGTGCTGTGACTTACCTGATCAGAGCTATATTCAATCCTGTCCTTGAAGCTTCCATGGTTCGCATCAAACCTAGCTAACCCTAACTTAACCCTGGGTTTGTGATGGTTCATTCTTATCTATTTCTTGTGTTTTCCAGTGATGCATATTAAAAAAAAATTGGTATAAATATTCTCCTGGACTTCTGGAAAGGGAAGAGTATCATGAATATGATTCCTAAGACAGAAGGTATTTATATCCTTGAGAAGGTATGACACCTCCTACAGCATGCCAAAATATATGGTAGGGAAAAATGGATGAATTTGAATGAATGTATTTCACATTGGGGACTTGGGAGTTTCTTGAGAGGTAATATAATATGTACATGATGCACAAGGAGAACTCAACAGTGCCTAGGCAAGAGATAATATGGGCCTACATTTAATAAAAAATGAACTGTAACTCCAGTGATCATGTAAATCGCAAATACTTATCACTTCCTTAGGTTTTCAGAGCAGGGGAGGATATCTGAGTTTACAGAAGTTAAGATTGTAGGAAAAAGAATAGAAGTGAAAAAATAATAGAATCAGTGAAAAGTGTTAGAAGATGCATATGGTTGGTCATTTATATAAGAGATAAGCAGAAGGGATCCCAGGACAGAACCTTAGAGAACTCCTGAGTATGTAAAATATGGTTCTGATAGATGGGTATGCTCACAGATGTCTAGATAGTAGATGGTTGTAGGGTGTTTGAGGGATAGGGGAACAGTCAGACAAGGGTGATACCTCTGACTCCATAGTCTTGCAACTTGAGAAGGATTTTGTGGTTTTTGCTATCCAAAGCTTTACTAATATCATTAAACTGTCCATTAAGATCCTTGCCATTGACATAAGAGTTGAAAATACTATTTAAAAAGTCCAAGATTCCAAATTGAGAATTTAAACGTTTCCTGAATCAAAATTGGAATTGCAAGAATAATTTGATCTGATTCAGGTAGGTGTAAAGATGGGAATGTGTTAACTTATCAATAATTTAGTAAAGACCAAGATACCATGATAGGCCTATTATTCTCCATAAGAGACCCTCTCTCTCTGGATACTCTAATGAGAATATCCAGAGAATACTCTGGATATATAATATAAATTGCTAAATATATAAAATATAAATTGCAGTGCCTCCACTGTTGGCTTTATTGTAGGAAAAATGTTATATGTTGGAATTTGGGAGAAGAAAGGGTTGAGAATGATATTTTCCCAAAATCCCCATTGAAATTTTATGCAAGTTCAATCTACTACAGCAAGAGTATGCATGCTAATTCAAAAGAAATGAGACATTAAAAATAGCTTGGGCCTCCACCCCCTGCATATTGATAAAATTCTGCATCTGCACACATACCATGAATGCTCTTCTCCCTTCAACTGGCAGTAGAGGCCCCTGTTTATTTTCATTATATAACTTTTCAATTTCTTATCACCTTGCTTCAAAATTGTGAATATTCATGATATTTTGCAAGTCTCATGCAGGTATATTGACCTAAGCAAGCATGGGGTAAGTTTAGCTAAATAATATAAGAGTAATAAGTAAGAGTAGAGACTTTTTGGTTTGGTTTGGCTTCAGTTGAGTTCAGGATATTTATATCTATATATTTTATTTTATTTCTTATTTTTTGGCCTTAAACTATGTAATAAATCTACTACATGGAGCTGGGTGTACAGTTTCAATTGCCCTAACATGGCAGGCAGAGATGCTGTGCGAGACTATTGCCTAGAAAGTTCTGATCTTTCTTCCATGGAGCAAGGTTTACCCTTGGGGAAGAGAGTCCCAGTCTATCTTGGTCTTAGGAAAGGAGCTAGACATGCACAATACTAGGTTTGTGCAAATGAAGTAACAGAACAGGTTTAGTATACCCTTCCATGTCATATTTACATTCTTCAGCTGGCATTTTTAAAATCATCAATCTTTAAAAGATTGGTCAATGTGGGAGTCCCTCAGGGATCTATCCTAGGTCCTTTGCTTTACCTCATATATGTGAATGACATGTATAAGTCTTTTAGGGAAAAAGACTTAAAATTATATGCAGATGATTCATATGTTTTCTTCTATGGGAAAAATTTTTAGAGTTATCAATTAGAGTGGAGAAAGACTTAAACAATTTGAGCAGATGGATTAAGACAAACTGGCTCACAATCAATATTAAAAAAACTAACTTTATGGTGATACAAAGTAGGAAAAGTATTGGAATAGGTGGAGTAAAATTATCCTTGGATGGGGAAATCCTGCAAGAAGTAGATCAAATGAAGTATTTGGGGGTAATTATAGGCAGAAGCCTTGTTTGGGACAAACACATACACCAAATCTGCACAAAGATAGCTGTAATTAATGGGGTGATGAGTAAAGTATGCCACTTAATTCCATGGTCACTCTTAACCCTTTCATGGCATATGATCATTATAAGGATCATATCTTTTGAGACTGCTCTTGCTGTTACCATTGAACAAAACCTGTTTTATATGGTACCACTTAATAGCTCTCAAAAAGGGCTCTTCGGTGATGCATCATTCATTGAAATAGGTTGTAGCTCAGGGAAGATAGATCAGAAAGAAAAGTTGTGACCCGAATTGTTTGATTTTTTAAGATGGAATTTTGGACGAAAAAGTAAGAATTTTTTTCCTTTTTTTTGGGAAAAGGGAAAAATAAGGGAAATATGCTTGCATGCTGCAAGAATGGATGGATAAAATTGGGACAAAGGCCAAGTTTTAGGGGCTCCCCATGTGTGAACAATGGACTGTTATTTAATATTTTTGGTTAATGATTTTTGTAATTAAAAAATCAGTTTTTGAATACGAGTAATTATTTGAAATTTTCTGCAAGCTCCATCTTTAGCTAGGCCTGTTCAATAGAAAAAGCAGTGAAAAAAATCCCTAGTTATTCATTTTCTTAATTCAGCCATGAAAGGGTTAAGAAATATCTACTTCATACTAATCCATCCCCCTATGTATTACCCCATATTGATATGCAGTAAATTATATCAAATGTATTTGCAAAATATAGAAGTGCTTCAAAAAAGAAGCATTAGGATTATGAGCTTTGCAGAATATAGAGACCATACTGAAGATCTCTTTCTATTCTGGAGAATTTTGCCATTAAGAAAATTAATTCAGTTTGTCAAATCACTTTCCAAGAAAGTGTAATTCTTAATGTCAGAAACCTAAAGCTAACTAGGATTGCTGACTCCCACTCTTATGAAACTAGGGCATCTAAAGCAGGAAAATTTGATACCTAGAACAAAGAAAAAATTTGCAGAACAAAATATCACACAAGAAGGACTAAGAATATTTAATGTACTACCTGAGGATATTAGGGCTGCAAAATCAATTCAAATCTTTAAAGTTAAATTATTAAATTATTTTCAAAAAAAGAGTCTATAGATACAATAGAAAACAGCCCCTTTCAGGCTGATTAGACTGACTGGATTCCTGAGATTAAAAAAAGAAACCAAACAAACAAACAAAAAAAGCAATACATTCAATCAATCAAATAATATTATTTTTTGCATCCCAACCTGGCCATCCAGGACAAACCCAATTGGGTTCAATGAATGGCCTTATTGCCACTATTCACATTTGCATTTTTTTTCTCTCTTTATTTATATTTATTTATTTATGTACTGTCTTTCATTTTTGTCATTGTCTTTACCTTCATCTTTGTTCTTTACCTGCAAATATGTGGAAAATATATTCTATTCTATTCTATCTCTCAGCTTTCAATTGGGGTTCACTATGCTAAATATTTTAAAGGAGAACCAGTCTTAAATTTTAATTTTTACTGCCTAGAGTTTTCAAATGATGAGTCTGAATGAGGTTAGATTACCATTTATAATTAAATTAGGCATAATTTATATGTGGATTTATAACAAAAGATTGTGATTGTTTTCACTTGAGTCATGCTGAAACTAATTCATAGTGCTGCTTGGGGTGGTAAGAGCCAAAGGGTCAAATCAATTAGAAAAGCACGCAGATCTGTAATTTTCTTTGATAATTTTAATATGATGATTTTCATTCTTTATGAATGTGTTTCTCCAACTTTCATAGAAAAAGGTAGTAATGTTCATCAGAAAAGTACATTGGGCTTGGTAAATAAGCTTGTTGATTACCCTGTGTTTCAAGGCCCAAAAAATGCAATACTCTTACTCCTGGTAACTTCTAGTTAGGCCTTCATATATACTGATTTTTATTTATGGAGGTTTACATATTTTCATTTTTCATGAAAGGTGGAATTTCCTTCATATTGACCATCTCCATTGCAGCACACAGTTCTGTGAAGATTTGCATTTATCCTTCTTTATTTTCCCATTAAGGTTGATACATGTGCTGAATGGCATCTCGAAATCGAGATTATGGTGGTTCAAAACATGAAGGGAGAGAACGGGACAGGGATCACACTGGATATTCAAAGCGAGAAGATCAAGGGAGACCTAGGGGCCGTGGTGAAAGTGAGTGGGAAAGGAAGAAACGTAGAGATGATGGAGATGGAGATTCTATCCGGGACAGAGGGAGGGTAGATAAAAGCCGGGATGATCGAGACAGGGCAAGGAGAATTGCAGATGATCTCCCAGGTTCTGATGAGAGGTATGAGAAGGAGAAAAGGAGGAAATATGATAAGAACTACTCTGAGGTTGACAACCGTATGAGGGAAAGGAAGGAGGATGAAAAGACTCATGAGGAAGCCAATGAGGATGACCTAGAGAAAGAGAGGAAGTTGGGTAAGTATCAACCAGATGAGCATGGTTTGGCAAGATCCTACTTATCTACCAACAATGAAGATATGAAAGCTGCATTGGTAAAAGAGGAACTTGGAGAATCAATGGATATGGATGTTCCTCCAATAAATAATACGAGCAATGACTTGGAGAAACCACCTGTGAAAAAGGAGCCCCTTTCACTGGAGGAACTATTAGCAAAGAAGAAGGCAGAAGAGGCAGCTAAAAGCAAACCAAAATTCTTGACTAAGGAAGAAAGAGCAGCAGAGGCTTTGAGACGCAGGCAAGAACAAGTTGACCAAATCAGGAAGCAATCTGAGTTGGAGAGACAACGTCGTATGGAGTTCTTGAAACAATCAGAAAGGAGTCTTGATAGAGGTGGAGGAAGAGATACAAGAGACAGAGATCGTGGGGAACGTGAACGTGATCGAGATCGAGATGGGGAAAGAGAGCGAGATAGGGATAGAGACAGAGACAGAGACAGGGACAGGGACAGGGACAGGGATAGAGACAGAGACAGGGACAGAGATATGGACAGGAACAGAGACAGAGATAGAGATAGAGATAGAGATAGAGAAAGAGAAAGAGAGTCAAAGGATCATGTCCAAGGAAGAAATGTTGATGGAAAGGAAAAGGATAAGGAAAAAGAATTGCAGGCCATCAGGGAACGATATCTTGGGATGATGAAGCGAAAGCGACGAGTGAGACGTTTGAATGATCGCAAGTTTGTCTTTGATTGGGATGCATCAGAAGATACCTCACTGGATTACAATCCACTGTATAAAGAGCGTCATGAGGTTCAGTTCTTTGGCAGGGGACACATTGCTGGTATAGACATCAAGCAACAAAAACGAGACCAGTCAAAGTTCTACGGAGACCTTCTTGAAAAGCGCAGGACTCAGGCAGAAAAGGACCAGGAGGCAATCCGTTTGAAAAAAGTTAAAACAAAAGAAGACAAGCAGAAATGGGATGACCGTCACTGGTCTGAGAAAGCTCTAGATGAGATGACAGAACGAGATTGGAGAATATTCAGAGAAGATTATAATATCACCATCAAGGGAGGCAGAGTCCCAAATCCTCTCAGGTCTTGGAAGGAGTCCAATCTCTGCTCAGAGCTGCTTGAAATCATCATTCGCTTATCCTATGATGAACCCACCCCAATTCAGAAACAAGCCATCCCAATTGGTCTTCAGAACCGTGACATTATTGGAGTTGCTGAGACTGGGTCTGGCAAGACAGCAGCATTCCTTATTCCTCTTCTTACATGGATCATGTCCTTGCCAAAAATGCAAAGGATTGAGGATGCTGATCAAGGTCCATATGCTATCATTCTGGCTCCAACCAGAGAATTGGCCCAGCAGATTGAAGAGGAGACTAAGAAGTTTGGTGAGCCACTTGGCATAAGAACAGTGGCTGTGATTGGAGGACTTTCAAGAGAGGAACAAGGATTCAAGCTTCGATTAGGTTGTGAGATTGTCATAGCAACACCTGGCAGGTTGATTGATGTCCTGGAGAATCGTTACCTTGTTCTTGGTCAATGCACATATATTGTTCTTGATGAGGCTGACAAGATGATAGACATGGGATTTGAGCCTGATGTAAAGAAGATTCTAGATCATATGCCTGTGACTAATCTCAAACCAGACACAGATGAAGCAGAGGATGCAGAGAAACTTCTTGCAAACTTCTCAAGAAAGGACAAATATAGACAAACAGTGATGTTCACTGCTACAATGCCACCTGCTGTGGAGAGGTTGGCTAGAACTTACCTTCGTCGCCCAGCCATTGTGTACATTGGTTCAATTGGAAAACCCACTGAACGTGTGCAGCAGATTGTCCACATGGTCTCTGAATCTGAAAAGAGGAAGAAGCTTCTTGATATATTGCTGGCTGGCATTGATCCTCCAATCATCATCTTTGTCAATCAGAAGAAAGGTGCTGATGTACTTGCCAAAGGCCTGGAGAAACTGGGTTACAGTGCTTGTACTCTGCATGGTGGGAAAGGACAAGAACAGCGTGATTATGCATTGGCAAATTTGAAAGCAGGAGCGAAAGACATTTTAGTTGCCACAGATGTTGCTGGTCGTGGAATAGACATCAAGGATGTGTCCATGGTCTTAAACTATGACATGGCCAAGACGATTGATGATTACACACATCGTATTGGACGAACTGGACGGGCAGGGAAACATGGAATTGCTGTCTCATTCCTCACCAAGGATGATTCAGGACTCTTCTATGATTTGAAGCAGATCATTTTGGCCAGTCCGGTGTCAACTTGCCCCCCTGAGCTTGCTAATCATCCAGATGCCCAGCATAAGCCTGGGACCGTGGCTCAGAAGAAACGCCGTGATGAGAAGGTGTTTGTGTGTTGAAGATGCTGAAGTTATACATTTTATGTGTTTATGCTTTATCATGTTGCCTTCACCCTTTTGAAATACATGAGGCATTCACATAAGGTGATGTACATCATAGAGGTTTGTGTAGTTCTTAAAACTCTCCACTGGGTTTCAACAGCCATCAGAGTTGTGGCTATATGGCTGGCATGTTATAACTGGAGCAAGTCACTCAATAGCAATCTTGGCTCATTTGATGGGACTAGGGTTCAAAACCCAGCAAGATAGATCCAAGCTTGTTGTACCCTCGTCTCTTGATTTGGAATGTTTCAAGAGCCCCCAATTACAAAGATCAAATCCAGGGAATATATCCCTGGAGTCACCACTCAGGCCAAATTGATTCTGCTACAGAAAATGAGTTTATGGGAAGAGTAGAGGTTAACTCATTCACTGGTGCCTAGAAGTTAGCATGTTGAATGCTGTGTGCTACAGGAAATTGGAAAAACAGCCAAATGTATATTTAAATGTCTTCAAATATAAGGAATTTATAAAATCATGATTCATTAACATATCAAGCTAACACACTGTGAGAGTCATGGCATGTGTTTACATATCATGCAAGCAGTAAATGGGTTAATAGGGTTTTAGATGAGCTACCAAATAGGTGCACTCATGGGCCTTGAGCCATCTTTACCTGGTAGCTTACCATATCACATGACTAGAAATATAAAGTTGGGCAAAATGGGATGATATGAGGGGAGTTCAAAAAGTTCATAGCATGAGGCACTTCCAGTTGCAATAGACCATTCTTACTCTTCTCATCAGAAGACAGATGACTTCGATAGTGACTGGCAAAATGTCATAATTTTTGTTGATCAAAGATAGGTTCTGGGAATTTTTTCCATCTGCTGCCAAAGGGTCTGCTGAAGGGTATTAAAATTGAGAAAAATGCTGTAAAGAATTTTCTAATCTCTATGGAGTTGATCTTCCAGCAGATATTTAAGCAGCTGAAAGGATTGAGTCCTACTGAGATGACTATGGAGCATAGAATCTATCTTTAATCGCTAAAAATTGACATTTTTCCAGTCACCATCAAAAGCAATTGTCTTCTTATAAAAATAATAATGGTGCATTGCTACTGGAAGTACCTCATTCTACAAATTATTTTTAACTTCCCTTGTGTGATTAACAGTGGCAAATTGTTTTTTCTTTAAAATTCAGTATATTCTGAAAAGCTATGATCTTTTGGGTCTAAGTGAATGTTCTGTTGGTTTTTGAAGTGAAACTATCATATGATTTTTTTCTTAGTTTATTAACTGCTTTAATCTTGAATGTAATTTCCATTATTAGTTATGACTGTCTCCCATCTGTTCAGCAACTTTTCAATTCCATCTGCATAAAATTTTTCCGGCTTGGATGCGAAGAAGTTCTCTGACTGTTTCGACAGCTCCAAAAGAGGCAAAGTTTTTTGCATAGAGATGGTTCTGCAGGGATCAGAATAAATGGTAGTCTGACAGTGCGAGGTCTGGGGAATATGCTGGATGGGCAAGAATTTACCAATTGAGTTCCTTTAATTTTTGCTGAGTCTTCATTGTCACATGTGGTCACACATTGGCTTAGTGGAATACAACACCCCTTCTGTTTACCAAAGATGGACGCTTTATAGCAAGAGTTGAGTTGAGATTTTCGAGTTGTTGGCTGTAACGGTCAACATTAACAGTTTCATTGGATCTCAGAAGCTCGTAGTAGACAACTCCCTTACAATCCCACCAATAACAGAGCATAACCTTGCTTTGGTGGAGCTTGGGCTTTGGAGTAGGAATAAGAGATTGTCCCACTGCACAATGTCTTTTTCATTGCATGTTTTTGTACAGTACCCATTTTTTGTCACCAGTAATCAATAGATCCAAAAAAGGCTCTGCGAGCTGACAGGCGTGATGCATAAAACATATGGTGACCCTATCAAGCAAGATTTTTCAGACAAATCGTGCAGTACCCAAGCACTGCTCTTGAGAAAAAAAACCAAGCTGATGAATGTGCTTTAGGACATTTGTCTGGTAAATTCCAAGTTTCTCGACAATTTCTGTAGGTGTTTGGCAAGGATCTGCCTTAATGAAGGCCAGCAGTTTATCATTATCGACATCGAAGGAGCATCCAGACCATGGTTCATCCTCCAAACTGAAGCTACCAGAATGGAATCTGGTAAACCATCTTTGACACATGCGATCAATAATAGTGTCCTCCCCAAACACTTCACATGAATTTTTACTTGCGTTGTTTAATAATTGGAACTCATGAAGCACACAGTATCTCAAATGCACTTTATCCACAGACATGTTAAACGCACAGTAGTTCATTTTGGACCGAACAGTTAAACTAAATTCATGTCAAACGTACTCTATAACCCTTACCCAAACATAAAACTGGTTTTTACAAGTATACTCATATGCAGCTTAGTTCACGTATGGGAAATAAAAATAATTGACCCTCGAAAAACTGACAGAACTTTTGCTTAGACCCAATATTTTAGATCAGGCTGGGTTTGAATAATATTACCACACCCAGGGAAATTTTATTCACCAATAAATTTTTTCAATACTAAAATAATCTGTCAATTGTGGGTATTACAATTCAAATGCTGAATTTTAGTTATGAATTAGGTGGTGCCTCCTGGACCATCAGATGTCCTGCTGCATATGGATAAAAAAAGTTCATCCTTGACAGAGAACTTATCAATTACTTTCATCTGGTTTTTTTTTCTTCCTCATTTCTCAACAAACAATTTGGACCCTGCTCCAGTGTTGCATGTCATATGGGCAGCTTCAAAGTTACTAACACCAGACTCAAAATGAAAACAAGTAGGATGGTTTACTTTGTTTATGGTTTTTTCCAGAAATTCTACCTTGAACAGGATCTTATGGAACACATATTTGTACCTACTCGAGCCAAAAATTTCTCTTTTCTCCTGTGAAGAAAAATGTCAATCATTTCGTGTTATAGATATAACTCAGTTTAGACAGAAGTTTTCATTCTGGCTCCCTTCCAATTCCAGTCTGATTTGGCTTGACCTGGAGCCTCCATATTTTCAAGTAAGAAGGTATAAACCATCACATTTCTTCATGCCAAATGACATTTGTTGCTGATAAAAAAGGAAAAGGTTAGGAAAGTTTTCCAGTATTACTTATGTAATAGAATTGTCAAAACAAGGTTCATGAAGCAAGGGTTAAATTTATCAAAATGGAATGTTGCAGGAGAAATGAAAAACCATCCTATGTCAGGTGATGCATGTTTATTAGATCCCTTATTTTGTCTAAATTTAGTATTCATACAATGCAGAAAAATTAAGGGGTATATTTGGAAAAAATTTTTATACCACTCATGCCCCAATTACTCTGGAATGTCTGGAAATGCCCATATCTATTTCAGAAGGCATACATGGTTATATATGAAAGTAGCTGTTCAAAGTTATTTAGGGCAAACTGGATCTCTGTTCACCTGATTTTACCCTTTAGTTGAAATGTGCAACAATAACACTAAGGGGGGATTTGGTCTGCCTCACAAGATGTGGATTCCTTACACACCTGTTCTATACTTGTAGTAAGTGTAAGGTTAGAGGTGTTGAGTCTTGTTAATTTATATCATTTGAGCCCACCAATATGGCATCTACAGGAGTTGCTGAGTACACTATGAAAGTGGCAATGAGAAAATGATATATAATAAGGCAGGAACTAATAGATCCCAGTCCCTTTGTATCAGGAGACAAAAGGTATTCCTAAGAAAGGTGGAGTCTGAATTTCATGTAAGATTCATACAGCTTCCAAGTGTTTTGCCAGAGGACATGAATGATGGTGATTGAAAAGAATACTCATGAAGAGTTTTGAATATTCTTGAATGTGAAGATACCTGGGTAGGGGTGGGGATAAGCCAGGCTGATGCCCCTTGGGATTCCAGAGTTAGATATTTTTCATATAAAAAGTAATTTTTTGAGAGTGGAAACATAAATTTACTACAGGTTACAAAAAAATGTATGGGTTTGATTTTGTATCATTTACACTTTATATACATGTTACTTCTTTTAAGTATTTATGTTTGGTCTTGGTGGACAAAATTGATTGTCTTATTGATTTCACCTGATTTCTTTGAGAATTTATTTTGAATGGGCTCTTTGGCACAATTGGTGAAAAGAAATAAGAGGTCTATTGAACCACTATAAATATTCAGAGTACTGTCAAATTTCCCATGGCGGGGGGGGGGGGGGGGGGAAATTTAATTTGCATATGGTACTTAACAAAAAAGATACAGCAGGGGTGACCCAATGTTAGGGTGATCATCAGCTGAACCTGACAGAAAAAACCTGAATGATGCAATAAAAAAAGAACTTAAGTTCTCAGAGAGCTCATGCATTGTCACATACTGAAATCTGTAGGAATTCTTACAATTTTGGTCCTCTTCTCAACTCATATTGGTGATTAACTTGACCTTTGGCTGCCCCTGATTAGTCCTAAAATATGCACTTCAAAATGCCAAAATATGCAAAAACATGCATTTCCAAATGCAGAACAAAATTTCAGCTACAATTTACATTTCATATCAACAAGCTTCCCCTTCATCCACTGAGTGGAGTAAGGAGAAGCTTGGAGATTAAATCAGGTGCCTACTTGGCATGGTTTATTCTTGTAGCCAGGAATTTGTCAATGGGGGTTTGGGGAATGGATGGGGGCTAGAGCACATAAATATGCTTATTCTAAGGAAAATGCAAAAATATGCCTTTTAAAAATGACTTCCTCTACCAATAAAACATGAACCTATCTGGGTTGCATGCTCCTATGATGCTGCAGGAAAAAAAAGCATTTGCATAAAATTCTGCACCCTATTGATAACCTGCCTTTTTTACCTTGAACCAATTTTGCCTGTTGATTCAGCAGTCTAGAGCATCCACTCCAAGAGCGGCAACACATAAACATTTTTTGTTATTGAGAAATCTCAAAGCACTCTAAATTTCCTATTCATTTTTCATCAGATTCCTTTAAAATTTTTGTTAAGTAGGTCAAAAGTCAATTTTTTTTAATTCTGAGAAGTAACCAAATGAAAGACAATAAGCAAGAAATTATTGTCATGCTCCCCAAGAGGTGCAATGTGCATCAAAGGATAAAAGGAGTAAAAAAAAAACAGTCCAGAAACTCCATCACCCATCATGCATGCAACACAGGAAGAATAGGTCTGTAACAGGAAAGTAGTGATAACCAGTAAAAAAAACTTCAACAGTCAATATGTTCTACATGGGGAACTGCAGCAAATGAACCTATATCACTGGTAATGGTAATGGTATTATGTGCATTGTATGTATATAGAGGAAAATTAACAATGTTGCTGAAACTATTTTGCTATGTTATAGTCTTTTCTTTTGAGGTATTTCATTACCATTCTTCACATTATCACATTAAAGTACACATGCACAAAACAACTTGACACCATAAACAAGAATGATGGCAACCTGTTCCTTTAACCATTGAGATAAAGTTCTCTTCAGGGGGGTTAATGGAAAAGTTGAGGATATTTGAATAATATTTGTGGAATTAGCACGTTTTATTGGTGCTGTTAAACCTGACTTTATTAATGGATTTTGGGATTTTTCATTTTGTGAAAAACGATAAATCCTGTCTTTCTATTTGATTTTAGGATGTTGGGCCCTACCTTATGAGCTACATCATAGCACATTTTTACTAATGCAGTGAAGTGTCCACAGCCTTTTAGCTGGCATAGCTGAAGGCTTAATTGCCTCCTTTAGTTTCCTGCAATAATTTTAGTGAAAGCTATTTTCTGGCTGGTTGCAATCTCTTATAACATCAAGTCTGAGATTTACAAGGGTTGGTACGAAAGTAATGCCTCTTAAATTTGTTCTCTGGACTCATGCATGGGAGACTGCCAAAAAAATTCCTAGGTAAAGATTTAGATTTGCTACGTCAGTTTTCTGGAAAGGTATCAGTTGGAAACACCACTGCACCCGTTCAAAATGGCTGCTTCCCTTGATGCACGTATAAAGCAGATTGTTATAGAATTACTGAAGACATTAATCCTATGAAATATCGAGAAAAAAATTTGTAGGCATCACTTTCATACTGACCATAGTTTAAAAGCTCATCATACACATTCAATACATTGAAAACACACTAAATAAAAACTGCTTTTTGTGTTAAACTTGCTGTGGTGCATGTGAAAAATGTAACTGAGTAATGATCAAACTATGGAAAAGGATGTTCAATTTTCTTCCTTCTTCAAAACAAAAAAATGACTTGAGAACTCAAGAAAATAACATTTATTCATACATATAATGAGATTCAACAAGATCTAACCTTACATCAGTTTTGAGTGGGACAAAAGGCTCACTGGTAAAATATCACAGCCCCTGTGGACATAAGTAGTTTGATCAATGGTCCCGTGAGATATAAACTAGTCAGGCCTCAAGCACTTATGGCAGAAGTAGATGCTATTATTTCATCTTCTTGGACCAAAATCAAATAGTCACCTCCCACAATTGAACAGTATCTTCTGGCTACACAATACAGCATAAAGCCCCACTTGGCTGTCATGAAGGCCCATACAATGTCAATGTAGTATGACTTGCTGATGTCCAATGGAAGAAATGCTGAAATAAGAGTGCAGAGATGTCAGACTTTATTCTTCTCTCTGATCTCAAAAGAAAAATTGAAACCTTACAGATGTTGTAGTAGAGGATGTTGAAAGTGTACCAAACTAGACCAGCAAGACCACAAAGTCCAAGAGCAAATCCAAGCAATGCCATTCCATTGAGTGACTTCTCTGAATAATAGATGTCCAACTGTTCTTGAATGTAGAGGATATGCAGCAGCAAACACACAGCTGCTGGCATGGCTAGCAAGGAGAGAAATTGAGAGATGCCCAGAGAATGCACTGAAATCGAAGAACTCTTTTCTTATATACATCCATTAGCAGTATTGGGGCCCAGAACAAGGGCATCAGATGGTGAATAGATGAATGTTGAACTTCCAATGTCACCAAAGGACAAGGACATAAACCTGCTTTTTCATTACTGGAATCATTTACATCCAAGGCATGGCATTAGCCCTTTCTCTGATATAACACAGGGGATGGCAGATATTCTTTTGAGCAAAAATTGGCATTGCTTATCTAAAAACAATAGTTTGTGAGAAAATGTCATATCATGATAACTATTGAAGATAGCAGTTCCATGCATAAATAGTTGTGAAATAACCTAGTAACAGTGAATGTTCTAAGCCTGAGAACATACCCAGGCTACCACTACATAAGCCCAAGTACGTACACGGGCAAACAGCCAAAGGGTTAATCAAGCAATTTTAAAGACCCATCTATAGTTTCTTAGTGACCATAAAAATGTGAAAAAGTTTGACTAGTGAAATAAGCCTATTTTTAAAGAAGTTACTACATATGCCAAGCATAACTCATTTTACATAAATATGCTTTCTGTAAAATATACCATAATCCTAAAATAGTTACTAGAGCTGCAATATTTTTGGATTGAATTTTAATCCCTGTCCTTTTGGAAGTGGAGAATGGTTAAGTAGTTGCTTCCAGAAGCTCCACTTTTTCAGATGATCTGCACCATGTGCAAGTCACTGCCGGCAATTGATGGAAGGGTTCAGGACTAGGGATGGAGGGGTTGGGTTAAACTGCAATGTAGTGAAGTTGCCAAATTACTCAAATTTATTTCAAGCTACTTAAACCATCTTATGTACCTGACATTATGAATGCTTTTGTTATACAAACCACCTTAATTGTTTTAATTCTGAACAAAGTTTCATGTCTCAATAAGGATGGAAAACGGTTACTTGATACCTCGAGGAAAAGTATGGCATGTAAAATAAAGTGGGTAGGCTTTCCTCGGCTTAGAAAATTTCATGTAATGAACTTCTTATTCTTCAAGTAAGGATGCATTATCTTCTTTGTAAATTACGAGTCAAGGTCACCCTCCCTTGTCGATGACAGAGTTTCGGCACAGGAAAACATATAAATACTGGAGTAATCTCAACACCAAAAAGATTATGTGCGCGAAAATAATGCCTAAGCAAGTCAACAGCTGATATTAATTTACCTGAAATGACAGCCCAGATAGCGGCATGGTGATTTCCATAGTGGAAACCAAAGGCGGCAAATGCAGAAATCCCCAGAAGAACCCCAAGGCAAGCTGCGAAAATGTGAAAATGCACGCAGCGCTCGCTATTGCAGCAAGCCATATTTTTGGCGTGATGATGCCAGATGTCAATCGCTTGCTGGTCACGAGACAAAAAGGCTCCAGTTTCTTATTATTGGAGATATTATTGAAGATTCATTTGCGAACTCATGCCGAATTTTTATTTTTACAGGGAGTGGGGGGTCCTTTTCAAGGGTTGAACGGAAATTCTTGGAATTATCTCTTGCGATTCCTGGGGGAGGAGAGACGGAGTAAGCGCAGCACTAGGTTCCATGGAAGCACGCGTATAGCCACGTTTTTGGGTGTTGGTTGTGCGAGCGCTTAAGTGACGCAGTTAATCTTGAATAAGATAAGAGTTGTCTTCTTTGGAGATTATGAATTGTATAGAATCAGGCCTAAACCGGCTTCGCCTCATTTGAGCAGAGGCATGATTGTTTAACCTTGGCCTAGTCCTACATGATCCCATCAAAATCCTGGATTTTTATTTACTAGTGCTTTTCCTTTTCATAGTGTTGTCCATAGGCGCCGAACCCATGGGGGCAAAGGGGCACGTGCCCCCCCCCCCCCCAAATATATTATTGAGGGGCAATGCACCCCCAAGAATGGCCAAATTTAAAAAAAAAAGTGTGACACATGAAAAATTAGAAACAAGATTCTGCTTCACGAAAGTAATGAAAAATATGATTTTCCTTTCTGTTTAGAGCTGCAACTGGGGGAGATCCCTGTGTCACCCCATAAGGGTATGGGGTGGGAGGGCCATGCCCCCCCCCCAACCTGCACTTGTCACTCTGCTACCATAATAATACTGAGCTACCCCAATGGATCCTGGAATAATACCATCACCAATATTTCAGGGGCATTAGGAACTTCCCCCCCCCCCCCCTCCAATATTTTTTAGAAGTCAGCACCTATGGTGTTGTCAAGTATATCACCCATCGGCTGGAAGAAAGTAATGTGCAAGGATTAACTTAAAGTGATCACCTCAGTGATTGTCACTATTGCTAAAGATCTTTCCTCCCATTTACTTATAAGGATGGCAGTGAGGTCCACTAAAACAGCCTCCTAACTCAATACAAATGACTTTGCACATGCTGGTATCAGAATTGAACCTTTGTACTTAATATAAATGAATGTTAATTATCTGTTTTGTCAAGGTTCAATTCTAACTGGTGAAACACTAGGCAATAATCACTTTTCTCACAAAGGGATTCCTACACCAAATTGTGCATGGACCTTCAAGTTCTATTGGAACCATTTTTATGAAGGCATCATGCCAATTAATAATAACTAAGTGTCTAGATTGCCATAGTGTTCAAATTTCACATACAGGCAAAATCCCCACATATATTGACTGGAACAGCATCATCAATATTGCAAGGAAACTGTGGTCAGATGGCTTAATTCACCAAAGAACACATCATGCAATGGCAGATTTTTTTAAAACAGATGTGTTCAAATCAAGGATAGTTTGAGTTTTGTTGTTCCTCCTAATGTGCTCTTATTGGGCTGTGGGTTTGCCCCCATAGATAAGTAGATGATCTCCCATTGACAATACACATTGAACCCATTTATTACATACCAGCATTTGTGAAAATATAAAGTTTTCAGATCTGAAAGTAACAACTTGCCATATTAGATTACTTCCATTTTCATGAACATCACAACTTTCAAAATGAAATATTGCATATGTGTGTATGCTTATCATTAATTTCTTGGGATCTGATATATTATCAGAAAATTTATTCACAAATGTGAATATGGTGTAACAGTGTTTAAAGTGGTACTAATTCTAGGTGATATCACTGCAACCTTTTCATGATGCCATTTTGGATTTCTTTCAGGTTTGTATCTAGGTGATTATAAGCTTCTTCAGAGAATGGCTTGCCAAGAGGAAGAAGATGATGGTGTAGTTATTAACGCTGAGGAGAAGCGTGACAGACATCTGGCTGTCCTTCAAGCATTGAAAACTTTTGAGTCAGCATCCTGTGATAATACCAAATTGGCTGCACTTCTGCTTCTTCCCAAACTCTTGAAGGCTTCTGAGCTTACACAAGAACAGCATCGAGAGATATTCCATCACATAGGATTTCAATTTCTGCGAAAATTGCTTTCTTCAGACTCTGTGCCCGAAAACTGTCCTCCCTACTTGTACAAGTCAGTGGCTGTCAGTGTGCTATCTTGTTTTTGTACTGATGAGGAGCTTGTTGTTCATCCACAAATGCTTGGAACTATCCCAGAGTTGCTTGAAGTAGTTAAACATGGTGAGAGCATGCCTGATGGGAGCCTTATGCTGGTGTATGATGCATACGAATGCTTAATTGCAATGTCTGCATATCCAGAAGGAAGGGATGCTCTCATTGAGCGTGATGCTGTTCGAGAACTTAGTGTGATATATGAAAAGCAAGCCTTCAACTATGAACAGGCTCTTCTTGTGCTTGTTTCCCTCATAATGTCATGTGGACCGAGTATGTGGAGAGGTGCTCATGAAGCATTTGAAATGCTTGTGAGTCGGATGACCTGTGAATTCATGCAGGATACTTCAAATCACAAGTTTAAACTATGTGAGATCCTTGCTGACCTAATCAGGTCTTCCCCCCAAAAATTGTCCCTGTCTGTCAACAGCAATGGGGAGAGTGGATGGAGCCAGAACATTCTGGATGGTCTGAGTGACATCTTGGGCAGTCGGATAAGTGATCTGCAAAGGGATCCTGCTCTCTTGTTAGCATCTGTGATGGTGGAAAAGTTTGGTCTGACCTGGTGCATGGCTGCTACTAAAAATCATAAGCCTAAGCAGTTTTTCCTATTGCTTTTGAACTTGGCTGCAATAGAAATCCAGATGATCCTCCAAGAAAAAGAGCCACACAAAGTCTGCCAAAAACTAAATTTATTGACTGCTAGCTATTCCATTTGTGAATCAACCATGACTTACCTGGTTAATTCAGCAGACCCATCATCACCTGATACTGTCAGTGTTTCCAAGTCACTGGAGCCAAAGGAAAAAGATAGTCTGTATAAGCCATTGAAGGAGGCAGTGACTGCAGTTCATACGTTTTTACTCCATGTGGCAACCCATTGCCATGGAAGGTTCCAGCTACCAACCAGAGAAGAGGAACTCACTGTATTTGCTTCTGTCAGGTTTTTAGCTGCATGGTTGGCTGAGGACACATTTGCATTTCATGAGGATACTTACCATATCCTCCCATTCCTGGTCACTGTGGCAAGTGCAATTGGAGAGAAAGTAATGGTTGCTGTCACCCCAAAGATGCCTCCAGCAGTTAAGCATGAAGGTAAAAGTTGTTTTGTGAATTCAGAGCAAAGAATGGTTTCAGGTGCCAAGTCCCATGAAAATGCCATGGGAGAAGAGGCATGTGCAAGCAAGCAAGAAATGACACTATGTCAAAGATATTGTACTGGGTTGCTAGAGGATACTCCAGACTTAATCCGCCTCCTGCTCCCTGCTTTTGTGAATCTCTCTGTTGATGAACGTGCTAGGGATGTACTCAAGAAAGAGAAATTATCTGAGCTCCTCTATCAGTATTTTGTTTTTCATTTTGTTAATTTTCATCCACCTGCACATGGTTTGCATTCAAACCAGAAGTTGTGTTGGAAGTCAAGTAAGGCTTCTCTTGAAGAGTCTGAGTCTGCACTCATCACTCAGTGCAATGTTTTCATGAATTTCCTCATCTTGGACCCACAATATGCTCGGGATAATTCTGGCTTTCTCAAATTGTTCCTGTTTCTGCTTGCAAATGCAAATGATTGCAACTGGTCAGGTCATCTGCTTTTGAAAGGGAACATTTATGTCTTAGGCCTTCTCCTCCTCAAAACTTTGGTCCCTAGAGTCAGTGTACAAGAATCACGGTGTTATAAATTTGTATCTGTTGCCATTGGATATCTGTGGGATGCACATAATGTTGAGGAATCTTTGGATGCACAGACTCTTGATGTGACATCCACATATCGATCTGTGTGGGATGATATCAGAGATCTGTGGTTCCTTGGCATGCATTGCCTTGCAGATTTGGCTGCTGAACATATATGGGTGGCTCATTTTGTGTGTGAGACAGGATGGCCACGTTCAATCATGGAGAACTTGAGAAGCGTCAAGAAAAATTCCCTTGATGCCAGCACAGCAGGGGCATATGAGGCACTCCTTTGCTCATTGGTGAAGTCCAAATCATCTGTTGTGAAGCTCCTGTTAGAGAATGATCTAGGGAGCATTTGTGAAAAGCATAATCTTGATGACCTGAGAAAACTTTTTTGATTGTGTCTTATAGCGATTGTGTCGTACTTGTTTCCCAGTTTACTTTTCCCTCTCTGATGGGGTTGTTGTAGTTTTTCAGGAGATTTTCAGCTCTATTATATGCCTGTGTCACTTATTCTCTGGCCTGTTGGCATAATAAAGATTTTTCACTTGTGTGACAACCTGCATCCTGAAAGGTTTATTATACTGGTGCAAGAATCACAGCATGACAAGGGAATGAAATATCTGAACCCAATCAAGGGGTTCAAAGAGAATGCAATATCGAGGAGAGATGTTGGAGAGATTCTACCTGCATTCATTAAAACAGGAGCACCAAAAAAACACTTGTGAAACTCATTTATCATCTGAATGAACCTGATAATTCTTTATTAGTCGTGTTAAGTTGTGTCTTTGTCTTGAACTTAAAAGGCATCTTGCAAATGTGGAGAAGGCCTATTGAACATGTAAGAAATTTTTAGAAATCTTGGATTCAAATATATCTGATAAGGGAAGGGATAATGGAGAGGAAATGCCTTTGGTAATTGCTAGGAGTGCAAAATCCATGCTTGAATGTGATGTGCTTCATTAATGAATGAAGCACTATCTTAATGAATGGCTGACATGTTACAAGAGTATGCTGAGAGTAATGGAATCAATGGAAGGACTTTTAAGTTTCATAATACTCATAATAAATTCATGTGACTTCATGATAGTACATCTTTTGAAGCTTACAGCATCAGTAGTGTAGTGCTGTGAATCTGATTGCAAATCAAGAGGAATTACCCAGATCTTTTGTTAAGTTCATATCAAGGGGATGGAAGGGAATGTAGAAAAGTATCAATCAGCTACAAATAAATTTGATCTTTATTATCTTTTATGCTGCCTTATTAAGGACAGGTACATAAATTTTCCTTCATTCATGAAAGTTGGTCTAAATAAAGGATATTTCTTGCTTCTTGAGAGTCGAGATCAGACACAGAAAAATGCAATTCAGTTTCAAACTTCAAAAATTGACCTTTGAGGTTCTGAGTCATTCCTGGAGTCAAATCTGCATGGAGTGGTGAGACTCACTCAGACCTGAAACTGCAAGTTCATCTCTTTTTGAGGAATTCAATTGAATAATTCCCTTCAGGGATGAAAATCAAGTTCTCTGAACCATATTAATGAATGGATGGGTATGGCAGATAAGTGCATGTGTATAGTGTGTTTGTATGGGTATCTGTGTCAATAGCTTCAAAGTAAGCTGAAATTCCTTTTCCATGATCAGTATAAACTTTTACATAGGGTGCAATACTTGCCACACTCAACACTGAAGAATTTACACTGCATGAAATGCCTTGAGTTCTTGCAATTTTGTAACATGTTACTGAACTGTGCCTAACAGTTGCAATCATGCTGCCTGAAAATGCTGCATCATCAAGGTATTGACGAACATTTTCATAGTTCATTGTTTCACAGTTTACACATGAAAGCAGTAAAACATCAAATGACTCAGGTAAAATTCCTTAAAGGGTCCTTTCCAGTTTGTTGGACAGGGAATCTGAAAGATGTTTTCCTCCATATCCATTGAAATAGCTTTAAAACAAGACAACACCAACATAGCATTTGACACACTGTATGTGAACTTTTCATCCTTCTCACATCCAAAGTGCAAGTCCAGCAGAAAAGAATTTGATTCTTCTTGTCATTCCAATGAGACGATTATGAAAGTATATGCCCTACCTTTCCCCCGATGTTGCTTTATGTGAAATACAAGAGCCTATGTCCAGCCTTGGGAGTCAGATAGTCATAACAGTGTTAGACCGTATCAATACCTTCCATTAGCGACAGTGACCTTCAGGGGAAACCAAACCCTAGCCTCAACATGCCCACTATCATTTTACAATTCATTTGCCCCCATCATCAGCAGCCAAAGGGTCACTTGGACCATGCTAAGGCCTGATTGGCTTCTTTTTTTTGTTGCAGAATGTCTCACATAGAACTGTGACTTTGTCTTCATACTCATCTCAATATCTTTGATTTAAAAATATGTCCTGCAAATTCTTTGCTTGCACCAATCCCTCCTCCCTGGGAAAATTTGTAACATAGATTTCTGACATCGCGTTAGCATCTGGAGCTAATGTTCTCATGGCACTCATATCAAGGAATATGTGTCACGCGGGAGAAGACCGGGAATGATGTGCCAGCCTCCTCGCTGAACTTCCTTTTTAGATTACTTGAAGAAGGATTTTTGGGAAAAGCTCCAAGTTTTTTTTAAATCTTCGAATAGCCGAAATTATTGAGGAAGGCAGAGAGAAGAATCAGAGAAACATTAAGTATTGACCTTTTCCAATTGAACTTTTTCTGGTGGTACTATTGTCTGCATGAAAGTATTGAGAAGTTAAAGCATTCCGAATCTCATATCCGAAGTAACAATAACGAAGTAAAAAATACTCTTTCTGCTCTCTAATAGTCTCTGACCACGGGCTCTTTTGAATTTCACCTCTGACTGGTTTCCTCCAGAAGTAAAATATAAAATTTGGTTCGAAAGGTAAACAAATTTACCATTTGTTCCGTTTGTCGTAGAATGAAATTGCGCTCTCGAAGAGCGACTCGACTGGTTTTTTTTTTTTCTTAAATTCATCCGATTAAGAAGCCATTTTTCTGGCCCGAAGTATGGCTTGAGCGAAAATGGACCTCACAGAAACATTTGACTTTGACTGCGTTTCTACTCGATGAGAAAATGCTTCATCCTCCTTTTCCATGATCGTTCTAGTCCTTAATATAAAAAAGTCAAAATCTTCGTGTTGACAATTATATTGTCATTGATGATTTCTCAAGGCAAGAATCTTCAGAACGCTCCCCATAAATACTGAAGACTCGAAAGATCCGCATATGCTGTAAAAGCATCTACTGATTATGCCATAGCCAGATGCCCTCCATTAAGCCGAACAGGAAGGCAGTCATGAATCGAAATGCTCTTGTGAACTCCATTTTGATTCTTCGTATCAATTGCAGAACCCGATCGTATCAATTGCAGAACCCGACAGGCGGTTTTGTTTCTCTACAACGAAGGGAACAAATCCCTTTCTTCTGTGAGCTTTGAACCAAACTAGTGACCATAATTAAAAGGTTCCTTAACCCTTGCGATAATCGAGCGATGAAAAATGGATTCCCGAAATCCTTCGAGGACCCCCGCGGCCTCGCCGCCCTCCGTCGTCACAGACGAGAGAAAACGCGGACTCTCCCCTTCACATCAAGACGTCCTTCGTCTCGGGCAGTTTGAGGGCAGCGAACGCCCCGACGACGAGGACCCCCGCCGTGGTGACCATGGGGATGGCCCTGCTGATCCCGATGAAGCTCCCGAACGTGAGGCTCCCGAGGATTCCTCCGATGCGACACACGGCGCTCAGGAATCCGTATCCCGTCGTCCTGTGCAAACGGCAAGAGAGTCGATCGGGTCGAGATGAGGGCTATAAAGCTTCCACCCGTATTTACCGAAGGGTGATCTCGTGGTTCATTTTGCCAAATAACTTAGCGTCCTCGTTCCGGCTCGTCCGAGCTATCATTGAGTCTGGAGCAGAATAGAAAAAAAGAAACTCTCGGGGCTGGCGAAAGGACTCGTCCTTTTCTTGGAAAACTAATATTTCAATGGGAATTGAGACATTTCATTTTCTTTCATGCGACTTGACAATGGAAGAGATGTGAACTCGCAAATGGCGCTGAACCTATGAAGAATCATCGTGAAGTCTGGTCTATTGCACGGGATGGAAGTAAATATTTTTAAAGAGGAGAAAAACCAAGTATATATTTCTCGTTTTTGGGATGGAATTCGTTTAGATCCAGCGCTGAAAATTCAGAAAGTAATAATGGTTGCGCGAGTGACAAATTGATCCCATGTTTAATCTCCTAAGCATGTAATAATTATCATTAAACGTGGATACTTTTCGTCTATTTCATTGTGTCCATTTTACCCACCGATTTTAGATATTAATGCTCCTATTCTGCATTTCAGCCTCGAATCATCTCTGCAGCTGTTTTTTTTTCCCCTCGTGGTGATAAAATGAAGTTTAAATCGGGGATAAGCGGAGTGTCTTACCTGAGATGAGTCGGATAAATTTCTGTCGTTGCGATGTCCACCGCATTCCAGCCGCAGATGAAGATGAAGTTGAATATGGACTCAAACACCATCACCGACACTTCGGTACTCAGGAACCAAATGAAAAATGCCGCTGCGGCCGACAGAAACGTCGATATACCTGAAACAGAAGGAGTTTTTAAAACCCGACACCGCTCCCCGACGTTTCTCCGAGCCATCGACACGAGGGCGAGCGAGGCGAAGACTCACATATCATTTTCACCCTTCCGATGCGATCGAGAAGGAAGACGGAAAGAAGAGACCCAGGGATGATTGACACCTGTCCGATCAGGTTCTCTAGGAAGACTTCTCGCAGATGGAAATTATAGTCAAAGTCCACTTGGCACCCTCCGACCAACGCCACGATCGTCTCGTTGATCAAGGTCGAATTGATGAATCTGAAAAATAAAAAGCAGCCATCGACATGTTTCTTCCTCGCTCGTCCTCGACGTCTTGCGATGAATCGGATTTTCATTCGTGATAACGTCGTGATCGATGTCATTCCGTCGACGACAGGAGACAGGGGAAATTGGGTGCCATGAACCTGGTCCATTCGATGTGCAGGAAAATCATTTTATTTTATTTTAAATTACGTTTTGAGTTGATAATATTCTCATGATGTTAAGATGAAACGAACTCGTTTACAAATGCTGATCCCATCTCGTCCCACCTCTCTTAATTGTCGTCTTTGTCGGGGGGATCCTTGCAGATATGACGGGTTCGACGGCCTCTCATATTTCTTTTTAGTACCTGGAAGGGGGTCTGACCTCTTCCAGGAATTAGAAAGAGATATGAATAGGAAATAGGAATGAATCGCATTAACACGTTGGCGACAATGCGTCCTGATGCCAGGATGCAGATTAATTCAACATTTTAAAAAAACTCGGCAAAAAAAATGTTTTCTGGGACCATGCGTCCTGATGGCAGGACGCATTTTTTGACAACAAAAAAATGCGCGTGGTCCCACGCGGCGGACAAGCAAAAATAGGCTGGTCGTCAACGTGTTAAATTCCAGGAATGTGATGTTATCGGACCCTTGGCTGGATCTCGGTTCCCAGAATCCAACTGCCAACACGACGATGACAGACGAGATCCTTCCACTGTGCCAGTCGGTCATCTTCGCTTCGTCCCTCGATCTACTTTTTAGCCCTCAATTTCCGACTGGAAATTGAGGGCTCGAGTGATCATCACGGTGCAGGGATCAATGAATGCTTTCGAGCATGGGTCACCGTTAAATTACCGTCAATAGTGGATAGAAGAAGATGCTGTTACCGTGACGTTACTGCTTGAAATATATGGTCACTCTCACTTTAATCTCTATCATGGGCATTCTGAATGAATTTCCGTAAAACGATATTCTCCATGGTTTCAGATGGTCACGCCAAAAGTCAGATCGGATTCCAAATATGACTTAATTTGCAGCGGACGAACCATTCGGAAACCGCAAGTAGAAGCCATGATGTGAGAAAATGTAAACATTGCATAAAAGGTAGTCCTCATCCCGCTGGAGGCAGGAGGTCTGTAGGCGTCGACAATGCAGTCCAAGTCCCTCACAGTCCCTCACAGTCCTTCACAGTCCCTCACAGTCCCTTCTACTTCCGGGTCGAGCTGCTTTCAGCTCGTCGCCACCTCTTCCTGCTTTTTCAAGTGTATGCTTTTATGCGCGATGCTAAGCCATGGATAATGTGGGAGGAGCCAGGGATTGACGATTTCAATTCCCACTCCTTTTTTAATGAGGTTTTGTGTCTTAAAGTGGCTCGACCTGGATGTCGAAATGATTCTTAAAGGATTAAGAATTCTGATCGTCATGGGCAAGCAGTCGTGAAGAACAAACTGAAAGGAAACAGGTTAGAGATGGGAGTGGACATCTTTTCGATGGACCTTTTTTTTATATAAAGTGCTGAATATACAAGGAAACAGGTTACTTTTCCATCGTTGCAGGTTGAATAACGTTTGGATTGGGATATGCATAACAACCCCCCCCCCCCACTTTCGCATCGATGCCGGTATGGGGTAATATCACGAACAATAGCATAAGCATAATTGTTACAAATGCCGGTACCATTTCTGCTACCCGGCCGAGATTGGGACTGACCGGTACTCATAGATGTCGGTATCGGAGAAGTACGGTCGGATGAGGGTCGAGTTGCGAAAGAACGTCTTGGACGAGAGGATGTTGGTGAATTTGCAGTCTTGCAGGTAGCAACTGTCGAAAACGACGTGATTGAGCACGACGTTCGTGAAGTTGACCCCGAGAAACGAAGCCTCCGCGTATCGGATGTTCTCCACCGTCGTGTTGTAGAAGTTGTCCTTGGGGCCGTGGAAGTGCTGGTCCTGGATCACCGTGCTGTTCTCGTCGTACTGCTCCATCTTCAGCGCTTTGATGTAGTCCGGAAACCAGATGCTCAGCCCGTAAAATCTGGAAATTGGATCGCCAAATACGGTCGAGTGGGATTCGCGTCACGAATTGCATTTACGGGCACAGAAGCATAAGATTCCGCCTAAAATACAAATATGCCATGAAGACCAGCTGACGAAAAAGTCTTCATACGGGCATATCGCGCTTCCGACCGCTTTCCATGTGACCAAGAGCAGACGATATCCATCATAACGTTTGGAAGCTTTCCTTTAAAGCCTTGAAATCCAGGTAAAGCTGTATCCTTGGCTGACGGATCAGGCAAAACCTCGTGCGAGAATACCGCTTGCATCGTCGCTCTTGTATCGGAGCTGGAACTTTTCGTTCTAATTGCCTACCATAGTCTTCCAAGTGACACTAAGAAACGACTGAAGTAACATCAGAGTTATTACATCTTTTTGCATCGATGGTCTCGAAACGGTTTTGTTGTTCATAGGCATGCCACGACGAGCTGAATATCATGAACGCATGGCAAATGTAGCTGCATGAAAGAGTTTCCTCGATCGGCGATTTGTGGCCCAAAGAATCGTGTGGCACGAACTCACCCGAAAGCTTCGGTGAACCAGACGATGAGAAGCACCAATGTCGCCCTTCGGTGGGAGGCTGTGAACAGTTGGAAAAACGTTCCCCAAAACTGGAAAGAAGGAATGGAAGCATTCTCGTGACATGCCCGTGATTGCTTGCGTGACCCACTTGCGGAACGTATTCGGTAGTCAATAATTATTCAACAAGCTTGACAAATGGACGAGCGCACGAGAAGACGCTTGGAAGATCTAGCAGAGATTTCCACGCGAAGTTACATGATCTCGTGTACCTGCCGAACGGAAGCAGGTACCCAATACATGATATTGTGTACCCGGCTGATCTCGCGATCCGAGTCGAGCCGATTCCCGTATCGGCCCGAGGCGGCTGGCCGGAATCGCGAACCCGCCTTCAAAATGTCTCTGCTCGACCGCCGGGAAATCTCATTTAGTCTAAGAACCGAATGCACAAACCTCATTTGGGGGAGACGAAGGGGTCTTTAAGCTAAAGAGCTCTTCCCCCCCCCCGTAGACTTCCATGTATTCCTTAAGGATCGTTAACTAAAGGAGGTTTCAGCGAGATAGTTGAGGGAACCTGGTTTTTCCTCAGTTGCTTCAAGGAACAAAACGCTTTTGGAGAGATTCTCCCGACCGTTGTAACCGCAATATAGACTGCTTTTTACTTTTTCCTTGATGTGCCGTTAGAAACCACGCTATTGAGCGTTACCAAGCGTGATGAGGGCTGTTTGGCCCGTTTCCAGGCATTTCTTTCCGCCCTTAGTCCGGGAATGAATAGGTTGCTTTACTGTCGGACCAAACCGGAGCCGTCTTGCTCTTTCTTCGAGAACACAATCGCGGCGACAACTTCAGAAAAAAATCTAGAAACCATATAAGGGTTACAGTTTCGAGGCTGTAGATGAAGTCGGCAAGGGCGCTGTTTCCAGGAGCAGGAGGAGGCATGATCTTCCTCGAAGGCGGCTTCGGCACCGGCAATTCCAGCTCACTCAACGAGTAGTGTCCATTCCGATCCCCAGCGTGATTCGACTTGTAGATTTTCTGTGCGAAAAAAAAGGAAGGAACCGGTCGATCGAGCGAAAGACGAGGAGGGACTGATGGAAACGGGAACCGATCTCCGACCTGGTAGACCATCATGGCTTCCACGTCTCGTCCGGTATCGAGGAGGAATCGAGGGGATTCGGGCATGAAGATGAGTCCGATCACCGCCAGGAACGAAGGCAGGGAACAGACGAGAAGAAACTCTCTCCACCGGCTGAAATGCTCCTTCTCGTTCTCCACCACCATGACGCCTGGAGAAGGCAAAGTACGGGGTTCGTACTTCTCGTACTTCCGAGTACCGAACGCGCGATCGTTCCCCGGGGGGGTCGTACCGGTTTTGGGGATGATGGCCCAAGCCATGAGGGCCACGAACACGCCACCGATGGCCCATGCCATGAGGAGCCAGCTCATGTGTCGACCTCTGTCCTTCCGGGTCAGGAACTCCGAGAAATAGGCAAACACGATCGGCAGAGATCCCCCGATCCTGTTTGCATATTGACATTAGGGCAATGAAAACCTGGCCGCGTCGCTGGATATCCCCTTTCGTCAGCCCTGCTGACGTGTTCCTTGCAAATCTTTCGTGCCTTCGCTTCCGTCTGGCAGAGTTTCGCTTCTCTGCGCTTAAACGAATGCGGATACCATTCTGCTTTGTTCGAACATCATACTGCCGGGCGAAAGTAATTCAACTGTTTTCTCTACTCGTATTGGACAAATTTATTGAGAGGGAAGAAACGTGGGCCTTTAGAGACCTTTAGAGACCTTTAGAGAGCCTTCTGCTGATTACCGATGGGTATTCCATTGCATAAATCTGCTTCACTCGCGCTCGAGGCAAAGGCAAAAAAGGTAAGAATCCCATTTTTCAGCTGTGTGAAACGTGAAGCCATAAGAGTTTTTGGAGGACGATCGAAGGGGGAGATTTGGATTCGTCGTGTCCATCGCAAAAGAAATGGATAGAATCGCCTGATATAAAGATGGCTCGTAGTTCCGAACCCAGTTGGTTGAAATTCCGAACGTTTTTGCGCGTTCTTAGGAGAACTTACGGCGATGGGTTGCGATGCTTGATACGCTGATCGAAAAAGAATGGATGCGTCTCGTCACTCTTGCTAATCTAATTGTCTCACGTGACGTAATGAAGAAACACCGACAAACGGCCGATAAATCTTTTCCCGGCAGTATATTCGAAAATATATTTTCGTTACGAGATGATACGCATAATTTATCTCGAGGGTACAGCCAGACGGAAATAAGGAAATTTTCTCCAAAACGAAACGACTCTTCTGGAGCCGAAGTGCCTTTCCGAGGATTCAGAGGGAGAAAGAGAGAGAGAGAGAGAATTTCACCCGATGCCACTGCAGAGACGAGAGGTCATGAAGGTGCCGTAGGTGGGCATGAAGGCTGCGATGGCCCCGAAAGCGGCATTCACGCTCAGCGACGATAAGAGCGTCCTTCGTCTCCCGAGGCGATCCGCCAGGCCTCCCCAGACGAAGCCTCCGATCATCATCCCGAAGAACGTGATGGCGCCTGTCGGGAACGAGATCGACGCGAACGCGCTTCTTGACGAGGTCGGGTCGACGGTGTGAAACGCACGCGAGTTCCAACGAATTCCGCAAAATCTCCGTTGCCGGCAAGTTACGAATGCGATTGCGAATCTGCAGTGTGGCGCGAAGAGAGCGAACGATCGGCACGACGCCGTGCAGCCGTGGGCCCGGCCGACGCATTGCATCTTGGGAAAGTCGGCTGCATGTCGGCTGCGCCTTCACCGAGCGAGAAATGCGTGGAGCGATTCGTTTTACGCTATTAAAAATGTACAAGACAGTAAAATTCACTGCAGAAAGCAGGAAATACACGAGGACAAATGCATATCGACAACGTAGTGTGCACGAGTAGGTAACAAAGTTGAAACGGGGAATCGAAACACTTGCATACCCGATCTGGCCAAGCAGCGCCCTCTAGCGTTTCACATCCCCGTTTAAACCTCGATAATTGCACTCCAGCGAAGTTCGTTTTCACGCGCAGCTGAGCGCCATACGCTTCCTACTGTCAGCGGTGAATTTACGACCCTGTGCTTTTATTGCTATTAAAAATAATCAATGCGCACACGAACTGCTCGGAGCACTCGATCGGGGCAGCCGCCATCTTTGTCCCCGTATTCCCAAAGTCGCAATGGGTCTGTCGGGCACGACATGCATGGCGTGGCGCCAATGGCCCACCCTTTTCATGCCGCACTGCAGATTCGCGATTGCATTTATTACTTCCTTGCCAAAGAGACTTGGCGGGTTTCGTTCGGACTCCCATCGTGTAACGATTACTCCCGGGGAGGCAAACACCGAGCCGTCATGAAAGCCCGCACTCCATTTTAACACCAACTTCCTAGCGGAAATGACTGGTACCGACGCAAAATGGCGCGCTCTTCCCCCCTCTCTTCCCTTCCTCCAGTCTTTCCTCTCCTCCTTTCCCTTTTTCTTTCTCTATATAGGTGGTAAACGTGTGGGCTTCCACGATGGCATCGTTCCCCCCGATGAATCGGCACGAGAACGCACCGAGCCATCCCTTCTTGAAGTCATCCAAGCAGAGCTCGACTTCGGCAGAGGGCAAGACGTAGGCGACCACGAACAATTCCACCGTGTCTGCAGCCAGCCCCAATCCCACCACCAGCAAGAGGATCCATTGGAAACAACCGAAGCCGGCCTGGAAATGCACGCGTGTGATGCAGGCGAAAAGCAGCCCTCATTCGCGCTCCTCGCGCTCGGTTGCTTCGTTTCTCTCTCCAGGACGATATGAAACGATTTGGACTAAATGAACTCGGCAAGCGCACGGCTCGCCCGACCGTATTTGATGACTGGAAGCTCATGATGCGACCGAGAACGAGAACATTTATATCACGCGGAAATGCGTAGGCCATTAGAAAGTATTCCGTTTTAATATTCTGCACAGTCACCATTCGAGTGACGAAAATCATCATGAGCGTGTCGACTCCAGGAGTAAAAGTATGCCGCCGAGCACGACCGAGCTGCGAGATGCGTGAAATCGACAGAACGCACGATTCGAAACGAAACGAAAGAATGAGAAATGTTCCGTACTTGTGAGATGGCATCTTCGTGGAAATGAGAGAGGACGGAGACTTCTGTGTCGACGAAGTCCACTTCGTCCACTCCCTCCTCGTCCTCCTCTATGCCTGCACAAGGGTACAACCTCTTTTTTTTTTTTCCTTTTCTTTCGCTTTTTGTTCATCCGGGGGGGGGGGGGGGTCCTTGGGGGGGGGGGGGGGCTGAACGATTTATTGCTCTACGCGATTCGCTCGGAGTTCGATGAGACTTCGCGAAATGGTCACTCAATCACAGGTTTAGAGAAGAAAATAATACATATCAGTTAGTTAGTACATTTTTGTGTCGGCTGGAAACGGTCGGCTGGACGCCAACCGCCGACAAAGGATCTCAAATGATCTGATGCTATATTTCCGTGATATATGCCCAGAAAGAAACTTGAAATCATGATGCAATGAATCCGACTCGGCCGTTGTGTCGCCTGAATAATTTAGCTTAGAATAATTTCAAATCACTGGAAATCACTGGATTTGAGCTACTTATTTTGTTAATTGTTGGACAGGGGGACCACTTATTCAAGTGTGAGTGGTAAGGAAATATCTTTACAACTTCAGAATGCTCTCAAAGTTAATATTTTACAACACGCACGAAAAGTGATGAACGTACAAGGCCATAAACAAATTATTCCCTTCTCGTAAAAACGAAATGAAGCTGGAATGATCTCGAACGAGACGAAGCCAAACCGTACTCGTAAAAAATAATAAAATAAATATAAATGACTCTATAAATGTGTAAGTAATGTGAACAGGGACGATGAAAGAGAACTCGACGGGTGCCAAGTCCAAGCGATTTCCATCGATCGATCCGAATTCCCTCCTAGAAACGCGATGATCGTGACCCCCTACCTCGCACGCAGCTCTTTAGTGTCACTCTCGAGCCCGAACGGGCTTCGCCGATTCGCAATCGGATCCATGGAATGTTGGGCTCTTCCTTTCGCATTGTTCCGTTTCCGGGGAACGGGGACATCACGCGACGGGAAAAATTGGAACCCCATTGTGACGAAATGGAAACAATGAAGTCCGATCGAATCGAATGGAAACAATGGCATCCCGCGCGAGACACTCGAGGTTGCGACACTTTCGGGGGAACCCGCGACGATCGCCTCTTGCAATCGCAAACGATCCAGCAGAGCACGGACGCGATCGACTTCAGATATTCGCGAGGGGGCCGTAATTACTTATCGATCCTCTCGGTTGTAAGTATATCCGTATCAAAATTAAAAATGTTCACGGTAAAAATCCATTTCCCACGTACATGGCAATAAGAAGCAGACGAGATATGGGTGAATGACTTCGATCTCATCTGAGACACGAAATCGTTTTCGATCTCATTTGGCTTTGTCTCGTCCTCGCGACGGTTGGACTCCATTCATTAAAAAAAGGAATGGATATCTCTGCAAAGACGATTATTTTCTTGTTCTTGCTTGGTTTGAAAACTCCTTTTTGCATTCCCGACTCCAGTGTTTCGACTCTCGAGTTGCTTTTAGGATGGAGAAAAGAGACGCACGAATTTCTCGTTACCTGATTCATTCTTGGCGGAAAGTCTTCCTCCCTCCATCGTGTAGGAGACAGGGCCGGGGACTTCTTTGCTCACCAGTGCTGCTGCTTCAGAGACCGTCTCTCGAGACATCTTTCATTCGAACCTCGTTTCTTCACGTGAAGTGGGAGATCCTGCTTCTGAAACGAAATCAAGGAGACTTTTTTTTCCCTCTGGTCTTTTTGAGAAGGATCCGACGATCGTTTCTCGGATCTCTTGGAGATTCGGGTCTTCGTCTTCGGAAATTCTTCCGCTTTTCTGTTCCGCGATGATCCGAGGACCTGCACTCACTTTTCAGCAATCGTCACGTGAACTTTTGAGTCGCGAAGAAGAAAGATCGAGGAATGGCAAGATACGAGGGAGGGGGACCAGGGAGACGAGGGCAGCTGCATGGCATCTAGCAACTATTCATCGATTCGGGGGCACGGGCTCGGTCTCTTTGGGCTGGGAATGGCAGCGCGGATCTCGTAATTGTTTTCCATATTGCACGCCGGCGTCAAGAAGCATCACGTCGATCACCGTCCCGAAAGGCTTAGACCTAGAAGATGCCCAGCATCCCGACCGGAGGAAACCCTGGGAGGAGGGAGCGACGTAGCGACGGCGATCAGAAAAGACTCACGACATCGATGTGTAACGAATGCAAGGGAGGCCATTGCAGGCTACATCACAGTCGATGCGAGTCGAGTAGGGGGAGTGACAGAAAGTGAACATATGGAAGAGGAATGGGGGTGATGGGGGGACGAAGGGGGGGAGGGGGGGGGACGGGGGCTGCGCGGGCTTCTCTGCCTACTAGGCTACAGTTTCCCATGGAAAATTCAATGGAGAAGCAAATGCCACTTGGGTCTAATCTTGCCTTCAATCTGGCTCACCTGATTCATGCCGAGGACCGTTCGCTCCTCTTCCTCGTTCTTCATCTCCCACTTCACATCGGACCACGAGATCTGTCTTACGACAAATGGGAGAAAGAGAGAAGGAGAGAGGGAGAGGGGGAGGTGTGACGGAAGAGAGGTGTTGGCATCCCTGTGAAGCCTGATCGATAGGCTGCTTCCATGCGCAACCCTGCTACGTTGGACCCCTGCAGTCTCCGAGACCAAAAATAGCCCGTCTCCCGCCATTGGATACGCATCACCGATACATATATGTTTTTTTCTTTTTTGTTACCGCTTTTCTGGGATTGTGGACCGTGATCCGAATTTCTCTGAGGGGGCAAGGGCAGTGAGACTTTCACATGGGCCTGTCGGCAGTGCGGGCAAGAAGGAATTGCTTTTTTTTTTTTGCTTCGTCGTTCTCTCGATGCTGTGACAACTTTCGTCATCGAAATTTTCTGTCGACAGGGAACGAACTTTTCCCCGAAATATTCTTTCGAAAGCGAGACGGAGGCGGAGGAGGAAAAGAACTCGGGCGCATAGTGTGTTGGCCCAACATCGAGCAAATATTGCATTACCGATCCAACGTTGTGCCAATATTGATCCGATAAACCGTGCTACTAAGGGAGATTAGCCTACTCTTTGGCCCTGGAGATCCGAAAAATTTCCCTGCAAACTCCAATGTCTCGCGAGAATGAGAAGTTTGCAAGTTCGAGAGCAAAATCTTATTGCATTACGTCCCGAAAAGAAAGAAAAGAAAGCAGTTTAGCGAAATTGCCCTCGTAGTTGCGAGTGATTGAAACGCTTTCAGCGGGGAACCGGACGGGAGGAACTCTTCCGTACTCGCTACACACGGAATCGCACGCACTTCTCGCCGTGCTTGCGGCGGGAAGTGTGTGCCATGCGGGCATCTCCATGCCATGCACGCATGACTCGATCGTTATCTGATTGGGGGGGGGCTTACTATGTCGTGGCAGTCCTGCCTCGTTTGCATGGACTCGTTCGTGTATGAAAATATAAAACATATTGACAAACATAAAACATATGACGAGGCAGCCATCTGAAGGCTGAAGAGAACAGCGTCTTCGGCACGAGGAAAAGGTTCGCCGTAAACGAGAACACTTTCATGATAATTCGCCCTAGATGCTTCTTCGGGTTTCAATTAATTCTTGTTTTAATTATGGCGTTCTCTCGTCAAATTACAAGAACTTGACTCTTTCGAACCGCCCGATAGGCGAGAAATCCAATCATCGAATTCCAGGAATCAGTTCTTTCCATGCCGAGAAAGCGGAATTTCCAATCCCCCCGAAGGCAACCGAATCGATCCCTGATATATTTTTAAAGGCCTCAACGCTCCTCCCAGCTCGAAGGGTCGGGACGGGAAAGGGTCGGGACGGGAAAGGGTGATTTCCGCTCGTATTGACTTTCGGGATGGAAGCGGAACGTTCCTCCTTGCCCCTGCCCATCGCAGATACGCGGAATCCCCCCCGAAAGATAAATGTTTGCGGTCGGAGAGTCTCAATATAATGCCCGGCTACTTCTAGTTTTATTGCTTCCCTTTTTATTATTTTTTTTTCCCACGGAAGAGACATCTTCTCCCCCCGTTCGATACCTGACCATCAAAGTCATGCAACTTCATTCCAACTTGAAACTCACACGAACTGCTATCTCTTCGTTCCACTGTTACCATAGAGTTAGACCAGGGGAGTCAAACTGAATTCGGTCGGCCGCACCCATAATTTTCCCCCGGAATTTGTGCTAACAGTCAATCCAAGCGGAAATTTCAAGAACAGACTTATGTTTGACGCCCCTAAGTCAGACGAACTCACCCCGATCCGTGTTATAAAAAACCCTCACTGATTTCAAATGACCGAATGAGGCTTCTTCTCGGTCACCTTCTATCGGATGCAATCCCAATTCGTCTCATCGCTGAGATCGGCTCGCCTCTGAACATCCTCAACATTTCTGAACGTTCATCGCCTTTATCTGCAGGCCTCCAAAATCGATGACGATTCTCTAAAAGGGGCCTTATCAGAAGCCACGCGTAACGAAGAATCATGAGCGAGCCCTCATTGTTAATTATCCGTTGGACTCGATCCAAGACGATGTCACCGTCAGCTACCGTCGATCGTCTGCGCTCGGAAATATGCAGTTTCTCATCGACGATTACCCCTAATTCTTTTTCCCGTTTGCCCGAAGCCGATCCTCGCCCGACGCACTCGGACCCGTCGTCATCGCAGTCGACGCGGAGGAACATGCATTTCCTCCGATCGCGTTCGATCGATTCGCGACTCGAAGGATCGCTCTGTGCACTCGGCCCCATTCGTCTCCTCCGTGACGTAGAAACTTACTTTGTGGGCGTGTAATGGGATCGTATTCGGAGCGGAATGGTACTCGGCAGGAGTTACTAGAGCTCGTATACTCTCTTGCTTCAAGGAGCAACCTTAAGCAAGGAGGAAACGAAGTCGCATTCGGACCATGCACCTGTGGCGTTCTGTAGGTACGGCAGCATCTCTGGTTTCCTCGCACTTTTTTCCTTTCTAAAATAAACCTGCCGACTTACTTGGTCTATTCACGCGGTACGGTTAGAGGTTTCAGATTACCTGCTCATGCTATCATGGGTCTATGTTTTCCAGAATTCCATGAGGCTGAAACTCCGGAAGAACCATTCCGGTTTTTCCATTTGCATTTCCGCAACATTGCGTTATTTTGCAGATGGATTTCTCGCGTAGGTTAAAAACCATTTTCAAGAATCCGTTTCAAACCCTCGTCCACAAAGCAGAAGCGAAACAGTAACTGCATTTCCGTGGAGATTCGGTAAAGCACTATCAGCTGGAGCGCTGAAGCACTTTTACTCCCTTACGCCGCTTAGCGGAAGCGGCCTGAATTCTGTCGCGACGCATCGCAGGACGTCCTTATGGATCGATGGACGTTCCAACGCGTTTTTGCGGAGATTTAGCTTCGACGTTAAAGAGGCCTTATGTCAGGTCGACTCAAGAAATTCCGAGGGGAACTTAATGCGAGGTCGTTTTGGAATTCAGGGTCTTCGGTGCGAGGGAAGCCCATTAAGAGCAGGATTCCCTGACGATCCCATTCATCATGCAAGAGGGAGGAGGAATCGAAAGACTCCTTTTCGGTCTAATTTGCAGCGCTAAAAAACGAACAGCGACGATGATTCGTTTCCACGAACGCAGAGGGGAATTTCGTCTGCCGACGAATTCCCCTCTGCGTTCGGATTGGTCGGATTCCTCAAACCCTGTTCGCTTTTCCGGGAAGATGCGATTTTCACCGATATTCTTGCCGGGGAAGGCTCTTATATGGTCTCCATTGATTTCTCACCCATGAGGCCTCGAGCTATATGATAAATTCGAAGGAGAAATATTTGAGGTCGCTTCACCTCGTCCCGGGGGATTCCACTCTCGGCCTCAACACACTTCTCCGTTTACTATCGCTCTCTTCGCTCTGGCAATCAATCACTCGTCCCCCGTCGATCGATCTACCTTGAATCCCCTGTGCCAAAGAGTTTGCCCCAAATCTCTTGTAACGGCCGTTATCGAAAGTTTAAGCAAAATCTCAGCTTCCGATGTCGACGGGATTCTTCTTAAAAGTGGGAAATTCTCGGACATAATCCCGTCCACCGTTTTCCGTGATCTTCGCCGGAATCCTCGTAAGACTATAATCGTTCGTAATCCAGTAATCGGCCAGATTTACTCTCATCTCCTCCGAATTATCGGTTTTCGCTTAGATCTAATTTCTGGAGAACTTCCTCACGCGAAATGCCACGCCTCCAAAACCATTATTCACCCATTTATTATTCACCCGTTTACATCCGCTGGGTCGTTATTGACCCGGTTCACATCATTTCCTAAGCCAGCACCTGTAGCACAGCATATTGAAACGTAAAGGCCCGAGATTAGTCCTTAATTGGGACATTGGCTTCAGATTGACATCGGTGCAATATGTTGGCTAAATATCAGGCCGAGAAATTGGGGAAACGTAGGACCAATGTTACGTATAATGTACTGTAGAAATGCCGTATGTGTCCTATGTTTACCGATAGTAAGCAATGCAATATTGGGAGAGAACGAATGATCTAATGCGTGTCCAAGATAACATCATGGTATTGTGCCAATAAAGGACAAATATATGGGACAAAGGCGAAGTTCTTGCTAGTAGATAAAACTTTGGTTCTTTTTTCCCACAAAAAATGAAAGGACTTTTTTCCCTTTCCCTAAAATCTATCCTCGCTAGGAGAATTTAGCACTCGTTCGTGTCTCGTTTGGTCACAGGGAAGCCAATAATAGTGGCACTTCGACATTTATAATTCCCATATTTCGAGAAATAATCCTCGTAGAACCCAGACTAAAAGCAAGCTTGTCTTTCCAAGTAGATGGCTGTCCAAAATTGCTGTTGCATGATTCCTTGGAAAATCGACGATCTGCTCGAAATACAGGACGATTCAGACGTCCACAGTCTAGGGAGTTTTTTTTTCCTGGTCTTTCCCTGTTTCCACATCGGACGATTTGGAACCAGGCAATGAATTCTGAGGCAGCCTTCAGGTCTACTTGGTCTGAGAGAATGCCTCCTAACGTACTGGCATAGTTGATCACAGAATTTCGTAACGTAAATTTATGGTGCCATCCTCCTCCCAATTATGAAAGTGCCTCTCCCCCCCCCCCCCTCCCTCCACACGGATTCTTGGACCCCCCTCCTCCCCCTTGTGTGCACCTTCGGAACATATCCCTTCCCCTTCTCCCTTGGTATGCGCCGCTTATTCAAGCTCTTAAGGTTCGTCGTGTGTTGTAAATAAATGATACAACTAGTGGCCTGCGGCTGCTACGCTGGCCGTCTAATGCGTGGAAATTTGAAAATGTTTACATAGCAGTTCGGTTCAAACCAAACATTAAAATTGTGAAACAAACCTCGAGAAGTTCGAAAGTGTTGCCGCCCAGCTAATGTTATTATCATCGAGACCACTCCCCACAAATAAATCACGAATGAAGGAATGAGTCATGAACGGAAAAGGCCATTTCAAATTCGGATAGTGACAAATGAGGAAAAATCACCACCACTTTCGGCCTCTTTCAATTTGTATGGTCTAGCCTCTGGCCCCAGAATGGCAGAGTCTTGTATGCTTTGCGTTTTAGGC